ACTCAATTTGAAAACTTGGTTAATTATATACTTTAATATCTATTTTATCCCAAAAAACATATACTTTAAAGAAAAAGCAATTTTTTTAGAAAAGAATATTTACATTACGTATTTTGTATTAAAAAAAAAACAATTTAAATTTTTGACAACGTCTTGTAATTCGATGGAGCCGGCTGCACGCACGAAAAAACATGACTCATGCGGCGTTACCTCGCTCTGAGGCGTTCCAATTAAGGCGTTAAGTGAGAGCGAGAGCGCGGAACGAGTGACAAAGAGGCACAATAGGAAATATGCACGTGACACCGAAATGGACAAAATATTTTTATTTGTAATTTTTGTTGCTAAAAAAAGATACCCATACAATTATTTTTGAAATTTATTATAATTTAATAGTGAAATTTAATCATCAAAAATTTCCTTTTTTAAGATTCCCTCGCAAATTTCTAAAACGCAACGCTATTGGTTGAATAAAACGTGACGTCAACCTACACTGTCAAGAGTGTCAACAAGTTGTGTGTATTTGTAATATTTAGTTTCTGGTGATTATTTGTTTCATTTTAAGATAATAACTAATACTTTTTCAGTGTTAAATTATTAAATTCCCGTGTAGAAAGACTCAACACAATGACTGAATATTTAAAATTGCACTTTGTCAGGTGCAGTTTTGATATTATTTGGGCACAAAGGAACGGCACAATATTTATAATAAGTTTTTATTGGCTTTTCCATGGTAATAAGTTAATTTTTATCACTCACTTTTTTAACTTTCACAAACTTTGTGAACTTCACTCCGTTGTTGACATCGAATTCGTCTGAAAGTGGAATCTGACGTCACAAAAAAAGCGCGCCAAAATGGACGTGTTCAAATTGCCCCAAAATGATAGTGATTTTAATAAAAAAATTTTTGCTTAACGGTTTATATTTCGGATGTGTTATATTTATTTTTGGTAATGTAATAACTAGTAGAATCGTTAAAAAAAATAAAAAAATACATGCATATTCCCTATTGGCCTCCGCGTTCGGCAGCGTTCGACATCTGTCTCTCTCCTACTTGAGTGAGCGATGCGTCCGCGTGGGACAGCTGCTACTCGTATACAATAATACATTTTTGAAAAATGCAACCATCAATAAAAAAAAAAAAATGCATCAGTATTTTCTTATGACGTTGTCACGTTCAACTATCGTCAGTAAACCGACTTTACAGACAACCGATTTTTTTTAACTTATATGAGAAATAAACTGGTTTTTTCTTTTCTGTCTCTGCATTAAAATTGGAAACTATAAACCAAGCAATTTGTTATTAGTGGAGACAAGCCTTTTGTCTATTAATTATAACATCACTTTCAATCGTTAGCCGTAAATCTTATAATATGTATCTATGTATATATTACAACATTTTTAACCGATAAAATCTTATCTTCATGGTAAATATATTCATAAAATAGATTTATAATTGGCATGTGAAGAGTGTGACGATGTTCAGACAAGCGAGTATTGTATAGATAATAATAGTATTTTACCGAGGATAAAATGCAACCAGTGTGAAAATGCTACATTTGTACAGGAAGTGCATTCCACAAATTGTAGAATTTTATGCGTATTTCGTAATTTTTGTTTTTGCAAAACTATTATTTGGATTTTATTCAATTTGACTTGCAAAGTGTTAATTGTAGAAAAAAATCAATGTACCAATTACTGGAAGAATTTGGTCAAGGATATGAAATTCATTTTACGACTTAGTCGTCTACAATAGCTTTGAATGTAACATGTATATAAAATTCATTCTCATGACTATTTGATTATTAAAGAATAACAAGGTATAGTTGTAGGATGGCCGAGTTGACAGATATTAATTTTCTTTGTTTCTGTAATTCCAAGGAAAAGAGTAATGTTTTTATATTAGTGTCGTATTAAGTTTTACCGACAATGTTATGTTATAAGTCATTTTAGAACTTGTTGTATTTAGTTCTAAAAGCTTATTGTAGTGTATGATTATTATAGGGAGGTACTTCTTACAATTCGTCTCAGTTGAGCTATTTATGCTTGATAATTATAATTAATCACATACATACAACTCGCGCCTTTATTACCGAAGAGATATACAGAGGCAACAGAATAGGTGGCAAGCTTAAAGCCATTAAGCAGGGTATATATATAATAATAATAATAAAAGCTTTATTCCTTACACATAGTTTACATTAGTTCTAAACATTATTTGTAGTGTTAGTATTATATTTATTCTAGTTTGTTAGTATATATTATTAAACTGCATTAACGTGTTTTGTTGTAAGGACCGCTTTGGCGGTGAAAGCCTCCTCCATTTCGCTCTCTCTTGCCAGTCTGCTCCAGGTATTTCCCACCGTGGAAACTATGTCATCACTCCATCTTTTGAATGGCCTTCCTTTCCGTCTTTTCTTGTGAATAGGGTACCAATTAGTGACAATTGTGGACCTTTTGTTCCCTGGTGATCTTTGGGCATGCCCAGCCCATTTCCATTTTTGGGTCATTATGGTTTTTGCCATGTCTTTTACCTTGGTAATTTCCCTGACATCTTCATTTCTCACTTTATCGCTTAGCTTAAAGCCCAGCAGCATATATATATATATATATATATATATATATATATGTGTGGTTTTTTTGTAAAGACAATAATATATTAATATTGAAATTATGCAGCTTAATGTCATTAGTAAGCCTCATTATCTTGACATGATCTATGTATCCATATTTTTTGGATACATAGATCATGTCAAGAGAAAACCTTCTAAAAACTCCTGATACGTACCTAATCATTTTCAATATTTTATATATTATAACTGTGTAAATATTTCAAGAGTTGAAAGGTCGAATGGCTAATATTACGATAACCTTATCGTATAGTAAGGCGGGATATCAATTTTCTAGTAAGCATATTTTACGAGTGACGTTAACATAACTTCATAACTCGTTGCCGCGAATGCAAGAATTAAAAACCGATTGTAAAAGATTTAAATTATTATCAGATGTGATCTCATTGAACTTACATCCTAAGAAATCGTGCCCATATTTATGAGAGTGATCTCACTTGGACCACATTAGAGATTAGATATATTGAGAAATTATTTTTTCACAATTAAAATGTTGTGACACTTCTATTTAACATAACAGTCGCACTTAAGAAAATAGTTAATATATGTACTACCTTGACAATATAACTTGTAATAAAATATTATTTTCTATTCACAGGTAATTACGCAAAAACTGTGCGATAGAATAGCGAATGTACCTACTTATTATGCAACCATTTGCTGAATAGGCATCACGCAAATGGATACTGTTTTTGTTATTTATAAGTTAACTGCAAACTGTTCTTGTAGTAGATGTAGTGCATTAATCGATTATGAATTTTATTTTAGTTATACTTTATTGAAATAAAAAAATGATCATTTTACAATGTCATTGGAAAATGTCGTGAGCCTAAAATATAAAAGCCAAAAAAATTATTACTTATACTTGTTGAGATTACAAAATTAAATACACTTTACTAAATGAAGATTTTTTTTAACGAACAGCTAAAAAATAGACAGTATAACAATAATACAGTTCAAACACGCGAGATCCTGAAAAATGAGTTAATTTTGCCTAAATACATTAACAGTTACAGTAAAAGAAAATTAGCATGTCATTCCATTTCTGATTAACGAATTACAGGTATCACTTAAGAAACAATTTACTCCAAATAATCTTAAAAGTAAACTAAAACAATACTTCTTGCAAAATATATAATTTTATAACTATCTTATTTGTATATGCATGCAAACATATCGATCATGAAATGAACGATTTTTTTATGACATTAATACTTTTAAAATTGCATCGATTAGCTTAATTATTTGTAATGCATCACTCTGTATATCGCGTTTCTTATAGTTTAAAATCTGTTGCGATCGGGTCGCCGATCGGCAATGTGCGGTACCGTCGGTGACGTATTACGCAGTGGGAAATAAATGAACCTACAACCTACTCAATACTTTATTGCTACCATAATGTAAATTTTACAGTTGGAAAAAACTTAAGCTAGGTATCAATTATGGACCCTGTCGGGCACAGCATAGAAGAGAGAGAGAGAGAGAGGGGAATGATTATTACTACATTTATTTATAATATATTATTTATATATATTTAATCTGTATAGTCATTATTTTATTTTTATTTAAATATTTAATAATTATTTATTGCACTAAGTTTGTATTATTTGTTATAAAGGTTATTAGTATTATTGTGATTTATTTTGTTAATTGTTGCAATTGGTTTTGGTCAGGCTTGACTAAAACCAATTGCAACAATTAAATGCTTAAATTAAATTAAACTAATGTTTTATAATGTTGTTAAATGCATTGTCACGAATTGTTTATTTCATCCATATATTCTTTTACACTGTAATAGCTTTTTCGCAAGAGGAATAGTTTTAACTTATTAATGAAAATGTTATTTTTTTCTTCGTTCTTAATCTTTTCTGGTAGTTTATTATAAATTTTTATAGACATAACTAAGGGGCTTTTAGAATGCATAGTTAGTTGGGAAGTTACCCTACCTAAAGTAACCTATAATGACTACCCACTCAAATTATTTCTTTTTTTACGATATATAGTACACCGGTGATATGATGATGATGTTGTGATGTGTGTGATTTTGTTCTTAGTCAATGTATTAATTTAGAATAATTGTGTAAGTAAATATATGTATTAGTGACGACACTGATGCACGGAAATCTCGAATGAGTTTATGCGGCATCTTACTGTTTAAACTGTGTAACTTATTTTGTAACAATAAAAAAATAAATAGAGATTGTTGTTCTCTTCTATCAAATTTGTAGTAATATATTTTTGAATCAGTTTTTGAATATCAATCAATCAGCCCTTCGCAGTCTAAGGCTGGACATGGCCTATTCCAAAGCAATAGCAAGTATAGCAATCAATCACGTCTTCTGCCTTCCGCAACCTTCTTCTCCTTCGTTTGTAATGGCTGGTAAGCGAAGACTGTGGTAGAGTTATGATAAAATACATGTCCACTTAGAAGCTAGTTGAAAAAGTTTAAAATGATATTACGCTATTTTAGGCAGATTGCCTGACGTTAACTCAAATGATTTTGTTTTGTTTTTAGGGTGCTATGTCTCGAGCAACAAAAGACCCTCTATGTGCCAGTCCCACGGCTTCAGAAAGGGTTCCTTAATCGATCAGAACTGCCTGAAGGAGAGACCGGCCCTGCAGCTATCAGGAAGGCTGTTTCGCGTAACGGAATGGAGAACTATGGAAAACCAGTTGGTAAGATATTAACTAATATAAACATAACTACCGGTGTTCTGGTTAGTTAAAAACAACTAGAAAAATATTAAATGAATATAGAAGTAATGAATATTAATCCAAAATAAGATGATCTTCTAGTGTCACAAGAGTTCTAAAAGGAAACTTATTGACGTTGAAGAAAAAAGTCATAGCATTTTCAATCTTTAGTAGTAATCATAACTTTTCCTCGACCATTGTTCATTTACCTCTTAGTAGACCTATGAACTTTTAATTCTGTAGAAATACATAATTCATTAAGTGTCCAGTCTCTTTTTGACAATGTGATAAAATACTAAATACAGCTACAAATATACTATGCAATATTTCACGTTGAAAGAGAAATATTGTAAAGGTATTAATGTTTTTTTTTGGTATCAGGAATAGAAGACACCGTTTCGCTTGATTTGGTCATCATGGGATCAGTGGCTGTCTCAAAAGAGGGATATCGCATAGGCAAAGGAAGAGGTAAGGTATTTTTAACATATAGCTTTAGTAAAAATAACCATAATATCTATTTCTTTAGTCGTAATCTGACCTATGAGAATCGAGTCATACAGTGAAAAATTATATAAGCTTGAAAATATTAATATAAATACTTTTTTGAGATATAATCGTTTTACTAGCAATTTTTTTAATTTATAATCGCTGGTTATTAAATAATGGAAGGAAGGAAATAACTTCAAATCAAACTGCGAGATCACTTTGTTTTGTAGTCTTATTCTTATTAAGAAATTGTTTAATCTCTTTGTCATTTTGTGTTGATGACACTGCCGTCGGCTCATAGTTTATCACAAGCTTGCATTCTCACTTTATCTATACATGAAAATGATAGCATGAGTTCAAGGCCAGCGTTTCATGACTGAAAAGTATCAATAAACTAATAATCAGATCTTAAAAATGTTAGTTTAGTTAGTATGACTGTTTTAAATTACAGGCTATGGGGACCTTGAATTCGGCCTTATGATGCATATGAAAGCCATCACGCCTAATACAGTGATTGCTACCACTGTTCACGATTGCCAGGTGAGTTAATATCTTTATGAAACCAATATATTACATATTTAAGTCTGACAACACATGGTTCAACTGTCAACGCAAAACAATAAGAGTGTTAAAAGGATAGTTTCATGTAAATATCTTTAAATTTATTTATTTCATTTATCGGTTGACCTGATTCTACCGTCTATAGAGTCTAATAAGATTTCAACTGCGGCTTTGCTCGGCGTTAATGTCGATATTGTCTTTTTTTTAATCAAAAATGTACTGTTCTAGACAATAATCTGTCTCTGTGCCATATTTCATCCAGATCTGTTAAACTGTTGATTGCGTGATTAAGTTTTCGCGTTTATCATGTTAATGGAATGAAATTAGAAATGGAGCTTTAGGAAATTGTCTGTTTTAGGTATTCGACACTTTACCAGCGGAGTTGTTTGGACCGCACGATGTACCCATTGATTTCATAATCACCCCAACCCAGGTAAGATTTCCATAGAATTGATATGAAAGTTGTAGACTGTTGACCTTGATTTTTATAACTTCAGACATCTCACACTCGCCCGTCTGATCCCGAGCCAGGCAGGGCTTGTACTGTGGCGACTCCCACATACAAAGAAACAGAAACATACTGCAGCGCCATCTAATGAAGACACACCGAACTACGGAGTAACTACTAAATAAGAATTGCTAATCCTTTATCGCGATATGAAGAATTCCCTCGCCGATTAGCATATATACAACTTCCCAACATCAACCGTTGGGCCGCGGCCCGCCAGGCATGATCACCTCGCCTGGTCGGAGGATCCTCCCTTTGTGTTGGAGGGACATGACACCCGTTCCACCACAGTGGTGACCCCGACGTGATTGGAAGCAGCCTTCAAAAGGAGCAGATCATCAGGAGCACCATCGTCTACACTCCCACAGCGATGAGCAGTAATCAAGTCTCAGCCAGCCAGCAACCTCGGCCTCTACAGGGATACCACACGCAGGTAGCGACCGCTCCAGCCTGGTTACCTCTACGGCCTCATCAGCGTCTAGGCACAGCACACTGCACCTACGGTCCACGTAAGAAGAGCATTTTCTCTCCCGTCTACGCAGCAGCCAGCCACTACGCAGCAACCGCCCCGACTCACTGGGGACTTCACCGCAGCACCGCGCACCGCACGCCATCCCGACTCACTGGGGCTAGCGGCACTCAGTTCCGACTCACTGGAACTAGCGGCACTCAGTTCCGACCCACTGGAACTAGCGGCACTCAGTTCCGACTCACTGGAACTACTCACTACTGGCACTGGCACGCTCCACAACAGAGCATAGACAGCTGACTCATCATATATCGACCTCCGGTCTTGGAGGGGAGTGATGTGGCGACTCCCACATACAAAGAAACAGAAACATACTGCAGCGCCATCTAATGAAGACACACCGAACTACGGAGTAACTACTAAATAAGAATTGCTAATCCTTTATCGCGATATGAAGAATTCCCTCGCCGATTAGCATATATACAACTTCCCAACATCAACCGTTGGGCCGCGGCCCGCCAGGCATGATCACCTCGCCTGGTCGGAGGATCCTCCCTTTGTGTTGGAGGGACATGACACCCGTTCCACCACAGTACTATGGTAGCCAGACTGTTGATAAACATACTAACTACATACTAACTTAAACGGATATTTTGTATTCTCAGAATAGAATACACGCAGTCAATGTATTGTGTGCTTACTTTTTCTATGTCAATGTTTCGTCTAAATTTGCTACTAAATTGCTCGATGGCGGTAATAGCGATCGCGTATTTAGAATATTATTTTAATTAGAATCAGTAAGAATCTAATCTGTGCAGGTAATAGCAACACAACGCATGAGTCAACGACCTCCCGGCATCCTTTGGCATATTCTGTCTAATCGTCGCCTTGAGCTCATGCCAATACTGGGACAGCTTCGCGAGATCGAAATGCTGTAAGTATATTAGGTATTAAATTAATTATTAAACATTAAATCGCCGTCCATGAACTCCTGCATGGACTCAAGACTCATTTCAAGTCTTAAGTCCATGCAGGAGTTCATGGACGGTGATAATCACTCAGCGGCAGGTGTGTCCGTGTTCTTATGCTATAAAAAGGGCGGAGAAATAGTTAATTTAGTTACTTAAGTTTTTTAAGGTTACAGAAGGTAGGTGGTCGACAAAACATGCTTTTTAATGTTTGTGTTGAAAAGTGGGTCATCAAAAATTCTTTTACTATTATTACCTATACCTAACCTGACCTCCTTTTCAGACTAAGTATGTACCATTTCTTACATATGTCGGTCCGTTCCTCAGCGCGGGGCGCGCGTGCTCGCTGAAGGAGCTGGACACGGACGTGGAGGAGCGCGCCGCGCAGCGCCCGCGCCGCCTGCGCCGCCGCACGCGCTCGCACAAGAGCCACAGCGAGGGGGAGGTAACTAGCGCACTCACCACTCTAGGTCGGTCCGTTCCTCAGCGCGGGGCGCGCGTGCTCGCTGAAGGAGCTGGACACGGACGTGGAGGAGCGCGCCGCGCAGCGCCCGCGCCGCCTGCGCCGCCGCACGCGCTCGCACAAGAGCCACAGCGAGGGGGAGGTAACTAGCGCACTCACCACTCTATGTCGGTCCGTTCCTCAGCGCGGGGCGCGCGTGCTCGCTGAAGGAGCTGGACACGGACGTGGAGGAGCGCGCCGCGCAGCGCCCGCGCCGCCTGCGCCGCCGCACGCGCTCGCACAAGAGCCACAGCGAGGGGGAGGTAACTAGCGCACTCTCCACTCTAGGTCGGTCCGTTCCTCAGCGCGGGGCGCGCGTGCTCGCTGAAGGAGCTGGACACGGACGTGGAGGAGCGCGCCGCGCAGCGCCCGCGCCGCCTGCGCCGCCGCACGCGCTCGCACAAGAGCCACAGCGAGGGGGAGGTAACTAGCGCACTCACCACTCTAGGTCGGTCCGTTCCTCAGCGCGGGGCGCGCGTGCTCGCTGAAGGAGCTGGACACGGACGTGGAGGAGCGCGCCGCGCAGCGCCCGCGCCGCCTGCGCCGCCGCACGCGCTCGCACAAGAGCCACAGCGAGGGGGAGGTAACTAGCGCACTCACCACTCTAGGTCGGTCCGTTCCTCAGCGCGGGGCGCGCGTGCTCGCTGAAGGAGCTGGACACGGACGTGGAGGAGCGCGCCGCGCAGCGCCCGCGCCGCCTGCGCCGCCGCACGCGCTCGCACAAGAGCCACAGCGAGGGGGAGGTAACTAGCGCACTCACCACTCTAGGTCGGTCCGTTCCTCAGCGCGGGGCGCGCGTGCTCGCTGAAGGAGCTGGACACGGACGTGGAGGAGCGCGCCGCGCAGCGCCCGCGCCGCCTGCGCCGCCGCACGCGCTCGCACAAGAGCCACAGCGAGGGGGAGGTAACTAGCGCACTCACCACTCTAGGTCGGTCCGTTCCTCAGCGCGGGGCGCGCGTGCTCGCTGAAGGAGCTGGACACGGACGTGGAGGAGCGCGCCGCGCAGCGCCCGCGCCGCCTGCGCCGCCGCACGCGCTCGCACAAGAGCCACAGCGAGGGGGAGGTAACTAGCGCACTCACCACTCTAGGTCGGTCCGTTCCTCAGCGCGGGGCGCGCGTGCTCGCTGAAGGAGCTGGACACGGACGTGGAGGAGCGCGCCGCGCAGCGCCCGCGCCGCCTGCGCCGCCGCACGCGCTCGCACAAGAGCCACAGCGAGGGGGAGGTAACTAGCGCACTCACCACTCTAGGTCGGTCCGTTCCTCAGCGCGGGGCGCGCGTGCTCGCTGAAGGAGCTGGACACGGACGTGGAGGAGCGCGCCGCGCAGCGCCCGCGCCGCCTGCGCCGCCGCACGCGCTCGCACAAGAGCCACAGCGAGGGGGAGGTAACTAGCGCACTCACCACTCTAGGTCGGTCCGTTCCTCAGCGCGGGGCGCGCGTGCTCGCTGAAGGAGCTGGACACGGACGTGGAGGAGCGCGCCGCGCAGCGCCCGCGCCGCCTGCGCCGCCGCACGCGCTCGCACAAGAGCCACAGCGAGGGGGAGGTAACTAGCGCACTCACCACTCTAGGTCGGTCCGTTCCTCAGCGCGGGGCGCGCGTGCTCGCTGAAGGAGCTGGACACGGACGTGGAGGAGCGCGCCGCGCAGCGCCCGCGCCGCCTGCGCCGCCGCACGCGCTCGCACAAGAGCCACAGCGAGGGGGAGGTAACTAGCGCACTCACCACTCTAGGTCGGTCCGTTCCTCAGCGCGGGGCGCGCGTGCTCGCTGAAGGAGCTGGACACGGACGTGGAGGAGCGCGCCGCGCAGCGCCCGCGCCGCCTGCGCCGCCGCACGCGCTCGCACAAGAGCCACAGCGAGGGGGAGGTAACTAGCGCACTCACCACTCTAGGTCGGTCCGTTCCTCAGCGCGGGGCGCGCGTGCTCGCTGAAGGAGCTGGACACGGACGTGGAGGAGCGCGCCGCGCAGCGCCCGCGCCGCCTGCGCCGCCGCACGCGCTCGCACAAGAGCCACAGCGAGGGGGAGGTAACTAGCGCACTCACCACTCTAGGTCGGTCCGTTCCTCAGCGCGGGGCGCGCGTGCTCGCTGAAGGAGCTGGACACGGACGTGGAGGAGCGCGCCGCGCAGCGCCCGCGCCGCCTGCGCCGCCGCACGCGCTCGCACAAGAGCCACAGCGAGGGGGAGGTAACTAGCGCACTCACCACTCTAGGTCGGTCCGTTCCTCAGCGCGGGGCGCGCGTGCTCGCTGAAGGAGCTGGACACGGACGTGGAGGAGCGCGCCGCGCAGCGCCCGCGCCGCCTGCGCCGCCGCACGCGCTCGCACAAGAGCCACAGCGAGGGGGAGGTAACTAGCGCACTCACCACTCTAGGTCGGTCCGTTCCTCAGCGCGGGGCGCGCGTGCTCGCTGAAGGAGCTGGACACGGACGTGGAGGAGCGCGCCGCGCAGCGCCCGCGCCGCCTGCGCCGCCGCACGCGCTCGCACAAGAGCCACAGCGAGGGGGAGGTAACTAGCGCACTCACCACTCTAGGTCGGTCCGTTCCTCAGCGCGGGGCGCGCGTGCTCGCTGAAGGAGCTGGACACGGACGTGGAGGAGCGCGCCGCGCAGCGCCCGCGCCGCCTGCGCCGCCGCACGCGCTCGCACAAGAGCCACAGCGAGGGGGAGGTAACTAGCGCACTCACCACTCTAGGTCGGTCCGTTCCTCAGCGCGGGGCGCGCGTGCTCGCTGAAGGAGCTGGACACGGACGTGGAGGAGCGCGCCGCGCAGCGCCCGCGCCGCCTGCGCCGCCGCACGCGCTCGCACAAGAGCCACAGCGAGGGGGAGGTAACTAGCGCACTCACCACTCTAGGTCGGTCCGTTCCTCAGCGCGGGGCGCGCGTGCTCGCTGAAGGAGCTGGACACGGACGTGGAGGAGCGCGCCGCGCAGCGCCCGCGCCGCCTGCGCCGCCGCACGCGCTCGCACAAGAGCCACAGCGAGGGGGAGGTAACTAGCGCACTCACCACTCTAGGTCGGTCCGTTCCTCAGCGCGGGGCGCGCGTGCTCGCTGAAGGAGCTGGACACGGACGTGGAGGAGCGCGCCGCGCAGCGCCCGCGCCGCCTGCGCCGCCGCACGCGCTCGCACAAGAGCCACAGCGAGGGGGAGGTAACTAGCGCACTCACCACTCTAGGTCGGTCCGTTCCTCAGCGCGGGGCGCGCGTGCTCGCTGAAGGAGCTGGACACGGACGTGGAGGAGCGCGCCGCGCAGCGCCCGCGCCGCCTGCGCCGCCGCACGCGCTCGCACAAGAGCCACAGCGAGGGGGAGGTAACTAGCGCACTCACCACTCTAGGTCGGTCCGTTCCTCAGCGCGGGGCGCGCGTGCTCGCTGAAGGAGCTGGACACGGACGTGGAGGAGCGCGCCGCGCAGCGCCCGCGCCGCCTGCGCCGCCGCACGCGCTCGCACAAGAGCCACAGCGAGGGGGAGGTAACTAGCGCACTCACCACTCTAGGTCGGTCCGTTCCTCAGCGCGGGGCGCGCGTGCTCGCTGAAGGAGCTGGACACGGACGTGGAGGAGCGCGCCGCGCAGCGCCCGCGCCGCCTGCGCCGCCGCACGCGCTCGCACAAGAGCCACAGCGAGGGGGAGGTAACTAGCGCACTCACCACTCTAGGTCGGTCCGTTCCTCAGCGCGGGGCGCTCACCACTATTTTTATTTGTGAACTTTGTTGCTAAAAAAAAAGATACGTACACAATTATTTTTATTACTTTTTATCCGTGTGGTGACGGATTAAGAATACAGACTGTCACCACCCCTATTCATCCCGTGGGTGTCGTAAGAGCCGACTAAGGGAGTAAATTACGCAGGACAACAGCACTGCAGAGAGAAGGAAAACTTGACACAAACCCTATACCAACCCGTCTGGCCAGCGTGGTATAGTAGGCCAAAACCTCCTTTCTAAGGAGAGACTTATGTCCAGCAGTGAACTATTATAGGCTGTTGATGTGATGATACAATTATTTTTAAAATTTATCATAATTTAATAGTTAAATTTAATCATTAGTGGCTTTTTAAATTCCCTCTCGAATTTTACAATTATTTTTAAAATTTATCATAATTTAATAGTGAATTTTAATCATTAGTGGCTTTTTAAATTCCCTCTCGAATTTCTAAAACTGTTTCTGATGGTTATTATTATGTATTATTTCAAAATCAAACACTAAGAAGTCGACCTGTACCTATAATTTCCTTTTTATGTAATTTCAACTTTTTTATTTTCACTATGTCGCTTTAAAATGCGATAAAGTCATGTAATGTAATCGAACGAATTCAATAATTAATCTTCGAAAGCATATTAAATCAGAGTACCTCTATAAATTCCGCTTCTTATAACGATACCATATTGAAACTTACATCGTGGACAAAAGATGAGTAGCCTTATTTCTGTTAGGGGAACACGACGGAGGGTGAGGAAGGGAAGGGTGGTACCCGCGCACGGCGGTCAGCGCGGCGACGCAACTCGCATAAGTCGGCCAGCAAGGACAACAAGGAAGAGAAGCCGCGCCGCCCCAAGCGACAAAGACCCGACATCGACTTCTCTGTTAAGGTACTCATACTTCTCTCTTCATAAAGAACTTTCACTTTTAAGTTACCGAGCTTTCTACTTGGCGACCTAGGCAGTAGATTGGTCACCTATGTGTATTAGTAAATATAATTTTTAAAGTAAATCTGTCACTTTGTTTGCAATAATCGACGTCAAATATCGCGCACCATATTTAGAATACTTAATTTTTATATGTGTGAAGTGCACAATACTAAAACAAGGGGCGTAATAGTCTTTACGTCTCTCATGTTCGGTAAGTAGGTTCTTATTACCTCCAAATGGGGCTTGTAAGTGACTAATTAGCGCTCTAGGGTAATAATGTAGCTAGAAAAGCCCTAGGGCGGTAAGTAATTTAAAAGAAAACACTTCTTTCTTTCAAAAAGTTACATAATATAAGTGCATCTAACCATCATACTGGCAATAGACATCATGCATTCAGCCCAATGACCAAAGAGGTCGCTTTGCTATTCAGCCTTGTCTTCGTGTGAGTATAATAGTCATCAATTTTAAATATCGAACGGATCTCAATTTCGATCTTGAAAAAAAAAACAAAGTTTTTCACTTGATTCCTTTTAATGAAAAAAGGCGGGGATAAAAAAATTTTTACTTTAAAAATTGTTTGTTTTTGGTATTATTCTATAATTACGTGCTAATAAGGAAAAACATGAGTTCTTCAAGTGATGAAGATATAAGCTGCACTCCCGATTTAATGAAAATGGAAGCTGAAGCAGCAATTAACAATATTTTATTCTTGTAATGCCGGTTTTTTCTACTTACCTCACAATTGAGATGTAAAGCAGAGTAGTTAGCTCGGGTGTAAGCATCAATTGCACCCTCGAACTATAGCTCGCCGCGCTCAAATATCTCGGGCTGCAATTGATGCCTTACAGCCCTTGGCTACTAATCTACTATAAAGTTTTGATGACATTCAAAATGCTGCGTCGTACTCTCTTACTAAGTAAAGAGGACATAGTGCAGCTCCTACAGCGTAAACAGTTTCAGTTTTAGGTATATACGATATTGTGTGTTTATTTTGATTGTACAAGTACGGGGTACACCCCGTACGTAAAACTTACGTGATATCATTCAATCCGCAGATATCGAACATCAGTCCAAATACAAGGGTGCGTGATTTAAAGCAGGCTCTATTTGAACGCGGAGTCAAACCACAGAACATGGTGTGGAAGGTAATTTATTGACAAATTCATAATATTCTTATTTGCCTAATGCATCAATGGTATGGGCTTTAAAGATTTTGGGTCGAATTATGTCGTGTATTAGTATCTAATACACTTATACTATCTTTCCAGGGTTTCCGTGGTTTCTGTTACCTTCATTTCTTCAAGCCCAGTCCTCAGAAAGTAAGTTTTATTTTATGTAATAATTATGAATCTCCGGCAAAATCCATAGGTATAGCTAGTTGAGATCCGGCTCGAAGGACCATTTAACGTAAGGGCCAGTTAGCTCTTACACTTGGATGCTGGTTTGCTACGTTAATGAAGTACACTCAAGAAAAAAGTCCCTGAAATCAATGTTTAATGTTACGTTACGTTAAGTTACGTTAAGATTACGTTAGCGTCTCTTTCTCTCGACAGTAGGTTCGCACCACGGTTGTCAGTGTACTCAAGTATTTTTATAGTTATTCTATTCATATCATTAATTACTTACCAAGACGCAACGTGACCTACGAGTATTGCTGTGTCCGTAAATATGTCAACGGAGTGATATATTAATACATCCGTGTAAGCAATATCCATCACCTTCGATTGTACGTATGTACGACGGCGTGCAGGGCGAGGGCGACAGCGGCGCCGCCGTGAGCATCGAGAGCGTGCTGGCGGCGCTGGCGCAGATGTCGCTGGGCGGCAGCGGCGGCACGGCCGGCGGAGACGAGCCGCGCGACGACAAGCCGCGCCTGCTGTGCGTCGAGCCCGCGCCGCCGCGCCACGCCGCCGCGCCCGCGCCCCAGGTACGCCACGCGCACACTACTGACAGATTCCAAATTCAATTGCACCTACTTAAACACACACGCACACCGCACCGTCAAACACGCACCGTCAAACACGCACAGTCAAACACGCACAGTCAAACACGCACAGTCAAACACGCACAGTCAAACACCCAAAAATAATACAAGTATTAAGGTCTAACACGCACAGTTAAAGAAGAAGGTTAGACATATCTTGAATGTAATTTCCGATGCAGTCTTATATGCAGTACGCGTCGTGCTTTCTGATGTATTTATAATGATATTTTGTTGCAGGTTCATTGATTTCAATCAGCGATGCGACCGACGACGCGACGTTTAAATATCATTGAATATTTTTTTAACGACCTTATATTTTTCTAAAACACGCATATACGTTGCTCGCTTGGCTGCACACGGACTGACGGGTTCCGTCGCATTCCGACACTAATTCTTTAACGTTAAGGTAGATTTTTCTTTGCGCGCCGGCCCCGATTTATGCGACACGATAAAACTGCATACTGTATCAAACGCTTAGTACATCCACCACTATGGGGTTTTAGCCGCAGTGCTTTCTTGGATTGTATTCTATTATTGGCTGTAGTTATGCTACGAAATGTTACGGTTTTCTTATTTGTTAATTTTCATCTTTATAGTATTTAGTTTAGATGATACACGTTATGTAGTGTCGTACGCGCCTTGACCGAAGCAGAAGCGATATGGTTCGATTTTAGTTTGTGGTAGTTCGGAACGAGAGTTCGCTCTATGGTATTTAGTTATTTGCGGGGGGTTGGCGACAGAGTAAGCTATATTTATACACACTGAAGGAAAGCTATATCTTTATGAATGTTTTAGTTGTTCTCTAGTCTAAAGTTAGAATGTAAAACGATCGTTGTCTTTAAAATGTTTACGATTCCACGTTTCTCAATGCAGATACTATTTAAGCATTCTTCCATAATTATATTACGAGAAAAGAAGCTATATTTTTTAGTAGATAGTATAGAACTAAAACTCAAAGTTTATATTTAATATATTAAGGTGCTTGTGAGAGCGGAGGCCCAACGTTGTTTAGAAATTAATTTAAAAGGATTTGATTAGTGTTAAGAGTATTTATTTTAATTGGGATCTTGGGACTTCGTATCTATTATTGTATATTTGTGCCAACTTAGTGTCCGTACTTGTCGTTTCAATTATCTGAAATTATCTTGTACCTTGGCCTGTAGCCTGCGGCAGCTAGCGTCGTGTCTCGTCCCCTACTCACTAGAGCTAATTAACATATCGAGTCAGTATAAGTTGGTACATATAAATATTTTCAGTCCTCTAAGAGAATGTCAAACTTACTTTTCTAGGTTAATAATAATAATTTAAGACTTGAAAAGTAATAGCTATAGTTGACATTATAAGATATCTTAAAATATTCTATTAGATTTAGCGAACTGTATGTTCGCCTAACAATTGGTCTCTTAGCGTAAAGATGTGTATTTTATATATAGAGAAAAGTTTTTATTAATGTATTTTTCGAAATTTTTAGTTTTTATTGGATTGCATAATAAAAACTTATTTACATTAAAGGTATCTCGTTACATTAGGTAGCTCACTCGCACATAGTTGTGCTGTGCCTTTACTTTGTTGTTCTTCACTTGCAATACTAAGCACTATAAATATATATGTATACATATTTATGTATATAAATTGTTAACATGCTGTTTACTACTTTATTTTGTAATTTTATAACGTTGGGTAGCGAGCATGGATGTGTTTTTTGTTTTTTATTTTTTTTAATAAATTTATTAAACACTTTTTACTTTTTTATTTAATGCCATGCATATATGCAAGTTCTGTTTTCACCTTGATTCAAAATTTTAACGTCTACTAGTTATTGATAAATTCTATAAAGTTGAATAATAGTTACATTTGAACCTTAATGTTGTGACTTTTAAACTCTGCTGTTTAGAGGTTGAGGATAAATTATATTTTTCTAGCTGACTAGTTATTTTATTCAGATAACCCACCCCGGAATGTTAAATTCTCTACGCATTTGGACGTGCAGCCGCAGTGAAAGCATTACTATTCTTTCCACGTGACATAACCAAATAGTATTCAGTAAAGTTATTAAGCATCACTAATACGCGATGGTGTCACAGGGAATATCTTAATTGTCCATGATACCACTAGTGTCATGGGGATTAAGACGATTCCTCCTGACACAACCAGGTATGTCATAGGGAATAGGTGATTCCCCATGACACCAATGGTATCATTTGGTGGTGTCACGAGGAAAGAATAAGCATTACTTAGTAAGCAACCAGGAGTTAGTCTATGAAAATCACAAAGCGAGTCAAGATTACACGCAAACGCATTTTATCATGGTATCAATTATTTAGAACATTTCAGTCTTGTTTCTCTGAAGTGGTATTTATAAAATATGTTAGCAAATGGAGGTTTTTAGTATTACATGTTTAAAAAAAAATAAGTTGACTGTCAATCGGCTATAATTATAGGAAAGTTGGTGGTAACGCCAATGACAAGATCTTAAGGGTTAATAATCTAAAAGCACTTTTTTAGTGAAACAAAGATAAGATGAGCGACACCGCTGAACGACGTGTGGTGTCGTTGGTAAAACATTACTCTCACATTTCCAACGAAACCACTGAATAAGTATTTAGTAATGTAAAACAAAACAAATTTAATGAACATTAAAAAAACAAGAATGAATATTTTACCTTAGCTCATCTAAAGCATGACCCAAAGTTATTCCTCCGTTAATTAATTTGAATATATCTTATGGCGTCATCATTAACCACTAGCCTTTTACTTCTTGTAGATGCATTTAATGTAGAGTTGTGTAGCTCCTGAGTCAGTGATATAAAATATATACATATATCATACACGCCGATAAAATGTATCACTCACTCACACTAGCTCCGAATGTATCAGTAACTTAGTTCTACCTCACTAGGTCACTAGCCCAACGACGCCGATTTTTGTTTCATGAGCGAGTGAGACTGAAGATAAATGAGCGGGATAGATGATGGTTAAGTTCACACAAGTTTCTTTGTGCAAAACGTACATTATTTCTATAGTATCAAAGTTCAACATTACTTAATTATTATTCGAGAATTAAGCCTGCCAAGTATAAGGAAAACCAATTTATGTATGTAAAAAATGTACAAATCTTAGAAACAGGTAGAAATCTTAGTAGAAAGAGAAGCTTCTGGAAAGTACGAGGTAATGTTTTCACATGAGATTTGGGACTTTTGTGACGGGATCTTGAAAGGACCTGAGAGTGATTATCATATGATGATGATTACTAGTGTGTGCTCTGAGTTAAGCGTTGCACATAGGGTACCTACCATAATAATACTTCTATAAAGTATGAATTTTAATAAAATAATTTTTCGTGACCATATTTTAGCACATAATTTTACCACGACTACATTCTACTTCGTCTGAATACTTCGTAGGTGGACCCAAACATTTCTTAGAGAGAAACTGATGTGTGACATCAAGTTTCTGTCTGAGAAATGAATAGAAATAAACCCCGAATAACGAGAAACCCAGTAAATAACGTTTTCTGCTAAATGGTCCTTACGCCAATATTAAAGTGAACGTCATTGTCCAGGAATAAATTTAGTCTTAGAGGCAGTAATTTAGTATTCGATAAAACTATTAGGAGTCAACGACATATAGGTATATGCCTTTAGAGTAATACAATTCTTTATTTACCAGTTTTATAAAATGCCTTAGGTAATTAAACACACTTTAAAATATCTATGATTTATTGAACAAAATATGACGAGGCTGTCTATTCGTTGTCTGGATTATTGACGGCTTCATCTTCACTGGATTCATAGGAGGCCGGGTCTTTCGCCTTTTCAGTTGTCGTCTCTTCTTCCTCTGCCGAAAATTCACTCTTCTTTACCTTTGGTTCTTTTTCCTCATTCCTCACTTTATGTTTTTTAGACCTGTGTTTCTTATGTTTTTTTGACGAGCTTTTATCTGAATCACTTCTTTTTATTGTTACTTCTTCCTTAGGCTTTTCTGTGGTGGTAGTTGGAACAGTAACTTCTTCCTCTTCGCTTTCGCTGCTGGATGAACTGGACTCATGCTTTATTACTTTTTTAACCTTCTTTTCTTTCTTTGGGGTAACTTCATCTTTGCTAAAAATTTTAGGAGATGTATTACTTTTTTTAAATGGGTTGTTTAAAAGAATAGTAAAGAAAAGTTTTCAGTGGGTAAGTAAATATAAAAATAATAAAATAGCCCTTAGCGAGCAAACATTCCGAAACATTTTGATTATTTTTTAATGCTCTCAAATATTCACAACATGATTCAAGTACGTAAATCGATCTCTTACATTTTTTTTATAATTAAGGATAAAAAATAATTCTGTGATGTATTGTGATATTTTGTCGTTACCTCTGTCTTAGTATTTCCGCAGAGTCCTCATCACTGCTAGAAACGAAAATTGTGTTATAAGTATCTAAAGTTTATTCGTGAAAATTCAAATTAAGGATTAATGCATTATGCTGGTAACATTTGTTTAGGTAAGGATTTTTTGTTTATCTAAGCTAAAAGCCCTGAAACTCTACCATCCAGTTTCATGATTTGCCCTAAATTACCGAGTATCTAACTGAAAATGTTTTATATACTTATACGAAAATGTTTTATATATACCTACTATATTTGTATGTAAGAGAGGAGAGGCCTATGTCCAGCAGTGGACTAGTATAGGCTGTTGATGATGATGATGATGATGTGTATGAGGTGTAGGTACTAAACTATAGGATTTAATGGAATGTATTACACAAAAGGTACCTGTCACTATCGGACTTCACTGCAGCATCATCGGCACGATTGCTGCAAAAAAATGTAAAACCTTTAGGCTACCTCTTAAGCGAATGCTTTTACAGGTAAGTAAGTTTATTTCGCATTCTGCATCTTCAAAAGACTTAAGATATGTACTGTGGCGACTTCCACATACAGAGAAACAACAGCATACTACAGCGCCATCTAACGAAGAAACACTGAACTACGGAGTAACTGCTAATCCTGCATCGCAATATAAATAATTCTCTCGCCGATTAGCATTTATACAAATTCCCAACGAGGTGATCATGCCTGGCGGTCCGCAGCCTCAAACGTTGGGCTGCGGACCGCCAGGCATGATCACCTCGCCAAGTCGGAGGATCCTCCCTTTGTTGTCTCGTATCTCCACAGTATCAATTGCCTACACTAATATTAAATCATAAGAATAGGAAAAATGTATTATGCATGTTCTTTGTAGGTTAAATGTTAGAGGTGCTTGAAATGTTGATGGTTAGTTTATTTGCATTTCTTTAGAAAAGATGTTGCTTTTGACGACTAATTGAGTCAGTGGACTCAAGTGTAGAAATGTATCATCATGAGGTAAAAGAAAACATTTGAAGAATACTAAACACAAGTAAAAGAAAATCCGAAAGTAAACTTTAACTTACGGATCTTTAAACCACGGATTTGTGTCTAACTTACAATACTCAAAGCAGTGGAACGCGTTAAATTTTTAATTAAAAAAATATTTTTTGATACTTACTTACGATATCTTTCAATCGAAAGCGAGTAGAAATGAAAAAAAATAATCATTTTTACTTACGTCGATTCACTCTCCTCGTCCCTATAAACAAAACAATTGTTATTAAAAACACTTCTTGTAAATATCTCAGTCAGGGTTAATAGAAGGAAAACTTACTCCAGATCATCCCAATTGACGGACCATTCCTCGTGAGTTATACCAGAACGGAATACTCTTCGGCAGTTTTGTCTAAAAAAATCATTTAAGTTATTATTAAAAGAAAAACTCTGAAGTAAGTATTAAAGTACTGCTGGAGATCACCTGGCTGGCAAATTTCTACCTTTTAGAATATTGTCTTATTTCACTAACCAGTTGACCAGAACTGTTATTATACCTACTTACATTTTGCCTTTGTATTATAATAGGTCAAGAGACTTACATACTGGATTACTGTAGTTTTCACATCAAATATATCGATTTGTCCTAACTAACGTTAACTCACCTGCCTAACTAACTAACTAACTCTTTAAAAAGTATCATTGAGTGTAATACGCAGGAAGGGCCTGTTGGTCTAGTGGTTAGCGACCCTGGCTGCTAAACCGGAGGTCGTGGGTTCGATTCCCACCCAGAACAAATATTGTGTGGTGATCACAATCATTTGTTCAGTGTTTGGGTGTCATTGATCTATAATATGAATGTATATATATGAGCAGATTGGTTGCCATAGTGCAGGTTCTGCTTAGTTTGGGACCAGACCGCCGTGTGTGAGATGTGTGAAGTTATTATTGTTTTCAAAATTAATTATATTAAACTGTATTCTTTATTGCTTAATTTTCCACCATTAGGTGTGGTTTCATTTCTTTAAATTTGAATGGGCCAATCGAAAAGTATATTCTACTAAATAAAAATAATCTTCTACATCGACTCATAACTAACGGAGTTATGAAGCAACAAACTTGTATACATAAAAACAAAATACCAAATTAGAACCGCCTTATTTCACCGCGCTATCCAAGTCGTTTAAAAAATGAATAAACAATGAAATTTCTTACTCAACATCCTTGTGAATAGCGCATGATATGAATTGACGATTCCTATAAATTGAGGTGTATAAGAAAGGTCCATGGCAACTGTGACTCTTCGGGTCGATTTTGCAGGCAGATATAACTCCCACCACCGTCTCTACGCCCTTATGTCTCACAATCAAAGGACCGCCATGGTCATTCTGGAAATGGAAAGTTATATTATCATAACATATAAGAGTAATATATATAATATATTATCATATAAAAGTATATATGTATTTATACCAGTTGTCTAGTACCCATTGTACAAGTTCTGCTTAGTTTGGGACTAGATGGCGTTGTGTGCATGTTGTACAATATTAAATATTAAATTAAATTACAATTATAGTATCTTAAGAGTGTCGTCTTCTGCAAGCAGTAGCTTTAGAGCACATGAGGTCTTTATATCTTCGTATACCTATTGTCATTAGTTTATCAACTTTTTACATATCTCAAATATTTACTATAATAATACTTAATTTTTGCCCTATACGTACAAGGTATATAAATTATGTTAAAAAAAAACCGTAATACCTACGAGAGAAGAAATTGTACTGTTAGGGAAAACCAAGTTAATCTACATTTAAAGCTATACCGATCGATTTATCAAAGGTGTTTTCAAATCGATACATTCGAAATTAAAATTTAATAAATTGCAACCTTTAATAAATTTAAAATGCAAAAGCATTTTTATAGTCACCTCACAAAATCCTCCTTGCATGGAAGATCTTCTAGCAGTATAGTCATTAGGGTCTCGTAAATGCCTTCCAAGATCAATATTGATTGAGTTGTCAGATATCTCAACGTCTTCGGGATCGTGGCGTCTAGTCTCCACGTCCGTACAGTTAGCGTATCTTTTCTATAAAATCAAAAGGAGGTAAGTATAACTACAATCTTTTTAAGCAGACAAGTTATATGTCGATGGAAAGCTACTAAAAGAAAACTATAAATGAGTAGCATTCAGTTTGGATTTAAAAACTCACTTTAAACCTAATGCGACAAACATAACATTTTGTGTAGATAATTTTGATCACATTGTGATTAAAGGCAGCATAACGGCATTAGTCTCATACATTTAATTTTTTTGTAGCCTGCCTGTGTATACTGTACAGCTTTCGACTTCAAAGATATAAAAAGAATTTCGATTGCACATATGATTATGAACAGTTTACGAGATTCTCAATTCACCAGATTGTCAACTCAGCAAATCCTCAATTAAAAGATTTTGTACTACCAAACAGGAAATGATATAATACAATATTTAACAGGATCGTACCTATTTTCGATCGTTATTATTGTTATATATATTATTGTTATTGGATTGTTGTTTCTTGAAGAATTAAAATTGTAATTTACTTCTAATGAAATGGCCAAACCAAATCAATAACCTAAATAAGGTAGTTAATACAGAATATCTTTTATTTCTATTCTATTAAGATTAAGATTTTTTGTGCTACAAGCACAATTACTAAACAATTTTGCCATTTATAATAGCAATAAATAAAATAATTAAATTGCTTACATCACAGACTTCGCTCAGCCGCTTCATAACGTCTTTAGTGCAAATCATGTATTGAGTGATAATCTCCCTAAACCTTTGGGCCCATTTCTTGGCACATTGTTCATTGTCCATAATGCACACCTTTGCTTCTTGTAAGCACTTCGCATTCTTTGGAATATGTACTTCCTTTTGACGACGGTACACTCCCTAGGCAACAACAACCGATTAAATTTAATAGTAATTGACAATCCTAAATCTCCATTGTAATATTCAAAAATTACCTCTCTGAAGTTATTACCGCTACCCCATCCAGCTATCCATCCTTTAGTTCCAGGCTTTTCTAATTCTCTACTTATATTATTGTAGATAATAGGACAAACGCCAAATTCACATCCACTCTCGGTAACGCCGAATTTGAAAGCTTTGTCTACTTTAACTATGGCGATATCATTAGATGACCATTTGATACTATCTTGAAAATCGAATTTGTAATCTGTGACATAGAAAAATTGAAATTAAAAAGTCTTCATTATGAATAATTTTCTAAGATTAGACATTGTTAACGTTCTGATCATTAAAGACAAATATTTAGAAATTTACAATTTCTCAGCCAATTATGCCTTTTTGTATTTTGTCTCCCACCTTGTTAAGTAGTTGTTATGATTAAGTATTTTTATATTTAAAATTTCTTGATTCTCGTTTTACTAAATTTGTCGCTGAATTTAAAACTGTTTAAATAGTTACACCGCGCATGACACTCTTTTCCTTTGGCTCGAACACGTCGTTGGTGGTGTATATGGTGGTTAGTTGAAGTGTAAAATTATAAATTATTAATTATAGAGATATCTATAAAAACTCACTTTTGGGAATACATTTCCATACAACTCTGCGTCGATGCTTGCAAACGCATTCGTCATTCTTGTAATCAAAGCTATCGACAAACTTGGTGGTACCGGAGACAATGTAGAATCTGTCCGCATCTTCTACGCATGCAGCAGAAGTAAGCACATAGTGAGGGTCGACAACAACCCCCCCACATAACCAACCTCGGTATTTGTGAGCCTTAGCCGATTCTTTTGTTAGTTGGAGATAGACCTGCGTCAAAAAAATACAGACAATTTTGGTTTTACGGTTCTGTTGATAGCAGCTAAAACATTTTGCAATGTTACGAGTATATAGCACGCCTTTAAAATGAAATTGGGTATAGATTATAGAAATGATTATGATGGTAAAGATTTGTGGAATGAACAGTCTCAAACCCTCTGATGACATTAGACATATTTCATGTGTGATACATATAAAGACACTTGAAGTATTCTTTAAGAGAAAAAATAAAGTTTTTAAGTTAAAGAAGGTATTGGAAAGAAGACGTATCTGAGTACGAATGTAGATAACTGTCCTGTAAGAACGAATTGGAAACCACTTAGACGGAATTTAGAAATGCGATATTTGTGGCATTTATAGGGCTAGTCAGGGGATTTTACAAGGAAAAAAGAAAGTATAATGTTTTACGACCATTAGAGATTGTCAAAATCTGAGATATCAAATAATAAAAGTTTACTGTTAATGAGTTATCTAGTTATGATGAGAACATTGTAAAAATGATTTGGTGCTTATTAAATAAGCTTTTTCTTAAACAAGCTAAATTCTGATAGGACTATGGTGAACGCAGAAGGTATCAAGACAGACGGAATCAGGATTAATAAAATATTCTCCTGAGATTGAAAACAGAATTTCCTCCTGGTCTATGCCATAGACACGATATAATTTTAAGTGAATTTTCGGTAATGAGGCTTTTTTGCTAGAATAGGCAATCATTATAAAGAAAAGCGACATTTGAAAGAAACCATGCTTTACAGCCTACAAATATACAAACCATATACGGTCTCTTCGCTTTTTCCGTCCTCTTACTGAAAAGAATTCGCCTCGTGTCTACGTGGGTTTTATTTTCGAAGTCCCAACCCTCGTCTGGTAAATCATCTGGTTCTTGGAGCTTGGTGGAGTTACTGTGTTTCTTGTGCTTCTTTACATGGCTCTTTTCTTCATTTATTCTTGAAGGTGATGCTGATGCCAGACCTGTAATGAAATTTCATGAACCTTTTTGAACCGTTTTAGTTTACCTCTTTTTAAGATTACATACTACTTTTATTTGTTATTGTTATCTTATAAAGGTGCATATAAAGTTCTAAGCAACATTATCGTCATGAATAATTGAAACTCTCTTACCGATAAAAACCAGCGTCGCTAGGAAAAGGATAAGCTTCGTCATTTTGCTGCACCGGCTGATCCCAAAAGGATAGCACAGATTTGTTATATCCAGCAATGAAATGGAAATTTAATTATTTTTCCAATTTGGAAACAGACATGCTTCGTTGAAGTCAATTATTTGGTATCCGGTAGATATGTTACGTACAAAATATTTGATTAATTTTGTTCAAGTTAATTAAAACAACGCAAGAAACGATGACGTTTAAATAAAATATATTTTATTACGTTGTATTATTTTTTAAGTCACTTACCCGATAATAATAGCTAAGGTAATTAATAAGAAACAGTTTCAAATCTCGTCCTATTACTACCGATGTGAACAAAATTTATTACTATCTTACACCTTAGTTTTAAAAGTTAATAATTGCAATTTGCGATAAACAACATTCGTTTCTTTTTTAAACGAGGAGCCAAGCGGGTGTATAATATTTTGAGTTTTTATGTACGTGATACCATATCCCGTACATCTAGCATTCTAAATGCCTGAACAAGATGTGCGGCACATCCCCAGGACCCTTCATCTCTAGTGATATTTTCTATATAAAAAAATACAATACTGTGCATGTATTTAGCCCTTATCAAAAATAAAACAATCATAGACTAGTCTTTACATTTTTTTTAAAGTAACTTCTTTAAATAATTTAATTTCACATATCGGTGACGTGAATAATTCCTCTTAAGAACTTCAAACTGCTATAGATATTAAACCCTGTTTTATACAAGGAACGAGGATTTATATGGAGATCTTAAATACCATTTAGCGTATTTAGACCTCATGTTTTATATGTTGTTTTATTATTAGAAGTAATTTAGAAAATTAATGTTTGAAATTGAGAAAAGCACTTTTCAGTTTAAAGAAAAGCTCAGTTACAACAGTGCTTGTTTAATGTTGTCTTCTGCTAGCTACTGACTAAGGTTGACAATACTCAGTACATATATATATGTACCTATACGTACTGAGTATTATCTGAGTATGTATTATGTAATTGTATAATATATCAATTATACTACTGATGTTTGAAAGGGCAAGGACAAGGCAACTCAATAAAAAAAATAAGTTTGAGTTATACTTTATAATGATAAATATTTATTTGATCAATATAATGTTACAGTGTTGGTTATTTTTATTCAAAATAGATCTTAGACAGTAGTTTCGTTAATCCTTAGGTAACGCGAGTGTAACTAAGGTAGCATCATCTGCCTACCCTTTTCCCAATTTTATTTGGGGTCAGCGCAGTGTGTATGATTTTTCCATTCTACTCTGTCATGCGTCATCTCACTGTTTACTCCCTTAATAGCCATATCCTCCCTGACGCAGTCCATCCACCTCTTCTTCGGTCTGCCTCTTCTCTTTTACCCTTCAACTCTCATATCTAAAACTTTCTTCGCTACATTTTCCTCATCCCTCCGCATGACATGTCCATCCCAAGATAACCTATTACTTCTTAACTTTTCATCCAGTGGCGCTACTTTCAGACTCCCTCGTATATACTCATTCCTAACGTTGTCCATCTGAGTCAGACCACACATCCATCTCAGCATTCGCATTTCGGCTACGTTCAGGCGTCTCTCATCCATTCTCTTAATGGGCCAGCTTTCAGAGCCATACAGGACGGCAGGTCTGATAACAGTTTTATAAATTTGTCCCTTCAGTGTTAAGGGGAAACTGGGGTCACAAGTTGTTCCCGTTACCTGCCGCCACTTCATCCATCCCGTATTGATTCGATGCTGTACAGTTCAATCAATCTCACCATCACATTGTAAGAGGGAGCCGAGGTACTTGAAATTGGTAATTATAATATAATTACCTTAGTTACACTCGCGTTACTTTTACACATGAATATAGATAATAAAATTTAGTTAAAAAGCTATAATCGCTGCCTGCCTGAACTAGGGTAAACCTGTGTTTCAGGCGATTGCTTGACTTAGAGTTTCAAACTAAGTTAATGTTAAATAATGAAAACAGATTAATAGAGAACATAAAAATACTACATAGTGTTCACGTACGAAAAAAATCACAAATAAATAACATCTAATACCAATAATTTCAGTCTCGTTTAATAATTTCTAACATTTCTAACATTATTTTCTGTTTTTGAATACTTAAATTAACCTACATAACCTAATAAAATTAATATACATTTTTTATTATTTAAGTTTTATATCAGTAAGAATTATGCGATCTTTGTAAACGATATTGGCGGTGTGGGATCTGTCTGAACAACTAACAGACAACTGTCAAACAACTGACAGTTATTTCAAACGTGCTTAGCAAAGAGTATATAAAAAATTAAATTAAAATTAAAAAACATTAAAAAAAAGATGAATAAAATTGGTGAAATCGTTTTCAAGTTAAAGCATGACCAGGAGAAATTTAGAATATAGAAATTATAAGTAAGCTATTATTGCAAGAAAAATACGTGTCTCTAATATAACACATATCTATATCTAATACAACCATGCCAAAATAACATGTATTAAAATTATTATATTTCTGCTTGTAGAATAAGCCCCTAGTCGATTTATTTTCCCGTTAATAAGTATAACATGTATTTTACTAATTCCTAACTGCCTACCTATCTGCAATATATTTTATTTATTTATAAATATAACCACGATTATATGTTTAATTTTAATATCTTTTAAAATTTTGCTTTTTATGAATGCTGTATATTTTTTATGTTCTATACCTCAAAACTCAGTCACTTATGAACCCTTTACCATCCGTTTGGTTTCATTTAATAAATTTTCAGTAAATTATTACTTTATTCTGTCTCGTACTTAATAAGTGTATCTGGATTGTAGTTACCGAGTTTCTTAGCTTTATTATTATTTGTTTGTGAAAATGTCATATACCGAAAGTTTTTTCGGGACATGGTAGTATGCTTTTAATCACAGTTTATTATAAAATCTATACTCTCAGATAATCTGCAAGTGAAAATCTGTTAGGTTTTGGACTATGCCTTGCATACTGTCATATATTCACAAAATAATTGCAAAAAGAAAAACTTACATCATCATAAAAAAAATTGGTCAAAATTATGAAAATAGGTCGTTTTCTGGGTTGTCTATGTAAGTTAACAAGAAAACAATAATAAAATATCTGAAATCATCTTTATTAATTATATTTTTATGTCTTTGTGGTATTTACTGTGTGAACACTCTTGGTGTCGTTATGAGCTCTGATGATGAAACCACTCTCTGCAAACACTTTGTCGTCTACTGGTGCATCGTGTGCTCTTACAACGGGTCCTGCCACAGTGGTACCTTCAGTGGTTGGCTCGTAAATGTTCGGTATTGGTTTTTGTCCAGGCTCCAACTCGTTCTTTGCTGGTCTAAAGAAAAAATACATCACAATACATGTATTATTATATATTAATATATAATTATTTTTCTGTATGGTGACGGACGGATTAAAAAAGTGATTGTTAGGTCCTAGGTATGTGCTACATACCTACATGAATTAAAACATCGGTATGAGATCTGCTTTCTGGTTTAGGCCAACAGCTACGGGACGTCTACTGCTAAATATTCCTAAATATCTTTTTATCATGACCACTATACATTAAACAAAAGGTATAATGAAGACAAAAGAGTAATATGAAAACAAAATAGTAGAAAGGTTGTTACCTAATTTTGTTTACGGGATTGAAATTTAAAATCAAGTACTTACCAATATGTATTTCGACTATATACAAGATAACACGAAACTAGTGTTTCGTATATACTATTTTAGTATATACTCACCCATCTGGATGATTTTTCCATGAAAGATTTTGCTCAACATGTGTTACGCCTGATCTGAATTGCCGTCGGCATTTCGGTCTGAAGAAATAAAAAATAACTTTATCAGAACTTGGTATTCATTGTATGTAGGCCTAGGAACAGTAATTTTTATGTCAATGTGTTGTCGAAGGCTGATAAATAGATTGCTAACTATCGAATGCAAATGCTCTAGTATCAATATCTTGTTAAATGTTGTGGGTAAAAAAGAAATATAGTTATGGTGTAGCATATGCAAACCAACCTGATCTATTTGCATATGCAACACTAACAAGATAAAAGTATATTCAGTAAGAACCACCCGACTAAATCACCGAAACCCTACAGCAGACGACATTTCACTGTATGCTTCTTCTGTAACCCAAATATGAGCTGCTAGTAAGTTAAAAGTTAGGGATACTGAAAAATGTTTTAGTTTAAAAATAATTATTTTTAGCTTGAAAGTTCTTCCTGACTAAAATATTTAACGCTGAATTCTTCTATAAAAATTAACAAAAAACATGTAATTTTATCGGCACTTCTATCATCAGTCTGCTTCTTTACAATTTTCTTCTTATGTTTTTCATCAAATGTTGTCTCTTCTTCTCTTTTAGAGACTTAGCAAAAACAAGTTTAATGCTGTTGAGCTAACTTTCTAGTTCAATGTGTCAAATACGTACTCGACTTCCTTGAAAATAGCGCAAGAGATGAACTGCCTATTCTTGTACACGCTGGTGTAGAGAAAAGGTCCGTAACACTTATTGGTTCTTTCCTTCACGAGGCAAGCTGAGATGACGCCAATGACCATAGAATTGACTCCGCTGCCGTAAACTAAAGGACCACCGTGATCATTCTAGACAATGAAAATATTACGATCAAATTTTAACACTTAGTAAATTCGAATAAAAAAAAAACTTTATGACGGTAATCATTGATACATCAGTTTGATATTACCAAGTTCCCAAACTTCCGAAGTTTACGGAGAGAAAATTGATTTAAAATGATTATTAGTTTATTAACTTTATCAGAACTTGGTATTCATTGTATGTATGTAATTATAAGTTGCGCTAATGTTTGGGTACCAAAATATTATTGTGCCTTTTTCATTTTGGGCATATTGTTATAGTGTTTTTATATTAAGTAATTCTCATTTCGAGGAATGCGTTTGAAACAGTGTTTATAATAATATACACTAACTTCACAGAATCCTCCACTTCCAATATTATCCCTCAATCGTCTGGTGTATGAGGTCTCGTTGTGGTAGGCGGAATGCATCACAAGGTTCGTAGGAATTCTTTCTGTCTTCTTCACTTTCGTGTCTCTTCTCAGATCCTCATCGTCGTCATAACTTATATCTGAACAGTCTACATATTTTTCCTGTGAAATTTAGCATTAGTTAATAATATTACTTCCCGTAATACATTATTTGTGTTGCTCACAATTCGATTAACAAATTATTATTGATAGAGATTTATTGATATTTTTCATTTTAGTCAACTTGTCAATAACAACAAAAATATATAGAGATACTGGTGATAGATTACTAGTTTATTTAAGTTTTAGAATGTCTGTAAAAGTCAACAATTTATTCATTTTTTTTCTTTCATTCCCAAAATTTTTTTTTGGGTTTACCACAACTCTACATAAAATCTTTGACAGTTTGTCTTTCAAATTCATGACATTAATGAAACTGTGGTTACCCTTACCTCAAAGCCATTAGTCAAAAGTTGAAGTTGAGATACTGGTGATAATATATATACAGGCTAGAGGGAATTTAAATATTTAAGAGTAAACTTAATTCAGTATGTGGAAAAAAATATCCGAAGTAGTATCTCCGGTAAAAATATTCTTTTAGTTAATAAATTACGGACTCATTTGAATATAGTATTAACTAACAGATGCAGTCAAGTACATACATTGCAAATTTCTGACATGCTTTGTCCGATGTCCTTGGAGCAGATCATGTAGTTATCGATAATATTGTGATAGCGAGAGCCCCAGCGACGCTTGCACCTGTTTTTGGGGATGATCTCGACCAGAGCTTCCAGCAACGTGTGCTGATTCTCTTTCCTTCTATTTATCCACTAAAAGAAAAAAATATAAGTACTTGACTAAAGTATTGGAATAAGGTTTGCTTCGTTACTGTTTGTCTTTCTGTAAAAAACGATATTTGTACTATTTTGATGTGAATAGTTTGCAAAACCTCAGGATAAAATCTGTATCTTTATAGTGATTTTTTTACGTAAACTGAGGATACACGTTACTTGTTTTAGGAGTAGGTATTATAGTTGACTGTACTAAACAACTTAATGTGTTGGTGTGAGTTTATGCTGTTTTCTATTGGTGTAGCGTAAGGTTCTTGGCTTGTTCGTTTTAATTAAACGACGAGCCTGTTGGTCTAGTAGTTTGTGAACCCGACTCCCACACAGGACAAATATTGTGTGATGAGCACGGTCATTTGTTCTATGTCTGGGTGTAATATATCTATAATATGTATGTAGTTAAAAATATATAAGTATGTTTATCAACAGTCTGGTTATCATAGTAGGTACAGGCTCTGCCTAGTTTGGGATCGTCTGATTCCAAACTAGGCAGAGCCTGTTCTATGGTGTGTGTCGGTGTGTGAGATGTGTGAGGTATCTTTTTATATTATTAATTCGTTTTTTTCAAATACCATATTATTATTCTTACAAATATAGGTTGGGAAACATAATTGTTAAAGTAAAAATGAGATAAAGATAGAAAAGATAAAGAGCACAAAGTAGTTGTGAACATTTTTAAAAGATCGAATCATTAACTACCACGCTTATTCACAAATTCAAACCTTGTAGTAATCTAAAAGTCTGAAGGAATTTCCATATTTTAATTAATTAATTTAAATTTACGAAATAACTTACACTGAAGTGTCTAAGTAATGCTGACATTAAGGTATTGTTACGGTGTAAATTGTAGATTGTAAATTGTAAATTGTACTCACTTCATTGTATCGTGACGTGGTACCCCAACCAGCAATTGAAACCACAGTGCCAGGATTCTCCAGCGTCTGACTCTGGTTGTTATAACAAACCGGTTTCGGTATAAAGTCACAACCCCGGATACGCCTAGTGAAGTCAAAACCATCTTCAATTTTTACTACGGCGATGTCGTTGTTCATCCATCGTATATTGTCGTTCTCGTGACCATCAAATACATAATCTAAGAAGAATAATATTGAAATGATGTAGTTGAAAGATTTAAAAGTTAAAGTGTGTTCTAATAGCAAATGGCTGGTGCACATCTCTAGGAATCATTGAGTTTAAATTCCTATTAAAAATGAGCGAGGAAGGGCCTCGCTCATTTTGGAGGATGGAACTGGAGGATATAACTGGAATGGATGAGGACAAAGTGAATAGATTTATATACTAGTGAAAGAGGACATAAACTTTCCGGCAACAGCGGCTTCTATTACAGGTGAGCGATTCTAACTCAGTAAGACTACAGCAATATCCCTTTTCTCCTATCGTCCTTTTTAACCAACTTCAAAAACACATAAGAGGGAGTTCTCAATTTGATTGTATTTTTTTCTTACCTACTTTTCTCTAAAGAGAAAATACTCAAGCATTCGTTTGACGAAAATAACAACCGTCACTAAATTGTAGTTGGCAACAAGTGGGTGTTTAATTCATTTTTGTTTACACCTTCATGGATACAGGCATGACTGTATGAGTGTAATCATACCCTGTATATTGGGTATATCCTTTATAAAGGGTATATCTTGCAGCTTTAATTTTACTTACTTTTAGGAACACACTTCCAAACTGCTTTCTTTGCGCCATTTTTGATACAAGGATTATTGTATCTATCGTCCTCATCGGCATATCTAAAAACAGATTATTAAAATAAAATTCATGATTCACTCTATTTATCGCCATATATATATATTAAATTAAGGCAAACGAAAATGAAAGACCTAATCATCGTAAAAATTAATATCCATACTTCTCATTTCTAATTGTATAAGATATTGAGCCATTAAAAAATTTCGTAATTTTATTAAATTTTAATATTTTTGTTAAATCGTAAAAATTTAGATGTTTAGACTATACAGAATCACATGAAGACGCTAAGTAAAGCTAATATCGTGAGATTTACAGATACAATTGAAAAAAAAAAAACTATAAAACTATTCTGCGTTACTTCCACGATACTTACTTGTAAGTACCGGAGACAACATAAAAATGTGTAACATCTTCAATGCACGCAGCAGACGTCAGAATATACTCCTCGTGAATAATAGCGCCTCCACATAACCACTTGCGATATGACTGCTGTTTTGCGTTTGCGCTAGGCAATTTGAGATATACCTAGGACAAATAATAATGCATTTGAGAACGCAGAATACAAAATGTTCAGGAACTCCGTAACCCAAATGATATGCTCATCATCATCAACAGCCTTTAGTAGTCGACTGCTTGACATAGGCCTCTCCTTAGAATGGAGGTTTTGGCCTACTATACCACGCTGGCCAAACGGGTTAGTGTAGAGTTTGTTTTAAGTTTTCCTGCTCTTTGCAGTTCTGTTGTCTTGCGTAATTTGCCATTTTAATTGACTCTTACGACACTCACGGGATGAATAGGGGTGGTGACTCTCGGAATTCAGAAATATAAACCTGGATGATATCTTATACGCATCTGATTCAAATAATTACGTAAGTACGTACGTTACACCCAGAGGAACAACTGTTCGTACTCATGAAATTATTATTTGTTGAGACTACGACCAGAATCAGGGCGAGTAGTATCTTTTTTTTGTTGGTTTATATTTTATTTACTTTATGTGGCTCACCAAAAATTAAATACAAACTAGTGTAAAAAATTGTAACAGACAAAAAAACTTTTGAAAACCAAGATAATCAAGGTTGACAAATTTGATATGACAATAAGCAATTTCCAAGTAGCAATTGTAAACCAGGAGTTTTTATTGCCACTTGACAAACTTTAATTTGCCAATGCCATTAGGAAACTATTTACATTTCAATGGACATTGTTGACCTTCATGTTTATGTTACAAGGCAAGGCAAAGTAATATTATTTACCACTAGTAGCTTTCATTATTTTCATGTCTTTCATTTACTTGGCGTTTTAGCAAAGACTAAAAATTGCTTATATAGGCCATATTTCGAATATTAAATCCTGTTGGTCTAGTGGTTAGCCACCCTAACTACTAAGCCGGAGGTCGTGGGTTCGATTCCCACCCAGAACAAATATTGTGTGATGAGCTGAGTTATTCGTTCTGTGTCAGGGTGTAATTAATCTATAATATGTATGTATTTAGAAATATTTAAGAATGTTTATCAGCAGTCTGGTTACCATAGTACGGGCTCTGCCTAGTTTTGGATCAAACGGCCGTGTGTGAGATGTATAAAGTATATATATATTTATTTTATCTGAAAACTACTATTAAGAAGTGCAATAGTGTTTTCAACGAGTTATTACTCGTACAGCCTCTTATTATTTTTAAATTGCTCATCATCATCATCAGTAATATTATCGTGATCGGCAATCACTATTCTTAAGAAGTGAAGCCTTTATTTATTCGCAACTGTCCATACTTACCATATACGGCATACTGTCAGTGACTTCTTGGCCATTTATGATTCTTCTGGTATCGTTACCAATATTGCTTAATATAGTTGTAACCTCTGGAGGAAGAGTGGTGGCTACCTCTATAGCTCGTACATCTACAAAAAAAAATTGTCTTGAGTTTTTGTTGAAGAGTTGGCATTCCTTCTTTTTTTTGCTTTTCTAGAGTTGAATGTCATTATTTATCCATGCCTATGTTGGATATTAGTAATTCTATCACGATCAAACTATTCTAGAATCGTGACAAGGTAATCTTTTTTTTGATTAGATATTATATATAAATATTAATTTTTAACCCAGTAATTCAAATTAAATTAGACAAAATAAAAGTAATTAAATAAACAAACCTTCATATACCAAATATGAAATAAATATACACAAAATAAACTTCATTGTTGAGAGGCACAATGGAATAGAACGCCTGCATTTACATAAAGAATTATTCAAAAATTAATTTCACGCAAGATATAAAAGGAAAATAATTAAAAACACGACTTATATAATTGCATCCGGCCATCTATTTTTATAGTTTTTTTTATTAGATATTGATATTTAGATGTTGACATAAATCTTGATTAGAATTCATATGGTACATTGAACACGCAAAATCAAGACCTTTTAAAATTACTTATAATTTTATGAAATTCGCGGTACGTTCCTCGTTTTTGAACGCATTGTACGAAGAATATCTTAAAATTATTATTAAATTAAAATAAAGTATCATCAACCGCAATACGCCTTCAAATTGATCAATTGTAATAAACTGTATTGTTTCTTACATTCTATACCACCCTATAGACAACTATACGGGATTCATATTCCTCACAAAAAAAAACACCTTAATTGAGAACCTTTTTGTTTAAGTCGGTTAAAAATAAATATATTTAGTATATAGTAGTATTATATCTTTATCACCATCATCAACATTCCTTACACTGGCAGGATTGTAGAGTGGTCCAGTCAACAAGTTAAAAAACCGCTTAATTCTTGTTCTCGATCCTAAAATATGTGCGATAGCTCATTCGACTAGGAACGACGTCTAGAAAAAAGTATCGCGAGCATTTATTAACTTTTAATATTTAAGATTTTTTTTAAAGAGATCCTTAAACAGAACAAAATAAAAAAAAACGATTCGGAATTCTATCTCTATTATTTAAAATTTTTATTCAACGCCGAAAATAGGTTCCCGTGGGGCCGTTACGGCAGGAGTTGCCGGCCTTTGAGGTCAGAGTAAGCTCTTTTCTTGGTGGTCGTATTGGTCTGGAAATACCATATGCGACAATTTGTTCCAAATATTGGTTGCGATAGGCCAAAAGGTTTTTAATAAGCGTACATTGCCAATATCCAAGTTGACGAGGATGAAAGTATATTCGTCGGTAACGAACTTTCCTACCAAGGAAATTTTTGTCACAAGAGACACAGTAGAGCATCAACGGGCTTGGGTCAATATGCTCAAAGTGGACTGCCACGTATTGCTCAGTGGCCTTGATTTTGCATAGTACCGCAATTTACTCTTCCTGTACTGCACTTTCATAGTAACTTGTTAAAATTAAAGAAAAGAAAACTATATCTATAATGTTGTCTCTATATTGATATTAATACTGTTAACATTTATTTTATCTAATAAGGACGACTACTTTATATCTAGAGTATACCTAGAAGTAGTATCTCAGAAGAACAACATTGAGTGTTCTTACTTGTACTGGGTATACTTACTTAGCCTAGAGACCCTGAAACACACTGACAACACTACTTTATTAAGTAACTATATGACCCGGTGAACTTTGTATCACCTCCATCTATTTTACTATGTATAATATGCATATTTGACAACCAACAAATATGTCGATACTTTGTCATGGTGACACTATTTATTTGCATTTTTTAAATTGAAATACATAATAATTTGAAAACTGTGTATTTATTTTATTGGGGAAATAAACAGAAAAAAAAAATAACAAAGTTAATCTACATGTACACTAAACACAATCCATAACAGTTTCCATATATAAATATATAATAGCGCTAAAAGCATTTGGAAATTAAGATTATATGTTGTCAACCCGTCTGGCCAGTGTGGTATAGTAGGCCAAAACCTCCTTTCTAAGGAGAGCCTTATGTCCGTTAGTGGACTATAAAAAGCTGTTGATGATATCTGTAAATGATATGCATAAATTGAGTAGCGAGATTGAGCTCTTCAGATCCAGACCTTCACATGTAAAAAAATGCATGCTTCAAAAATTTCTTTTGGCACAATATTAGGAGCGTGACATTTTCTTAGTCTAAGTTTTTATTTTTTCCTTTTTCTTAGTTGTAGTTGTTATTTGAACTGTTGTTTTACACTTGGAATCTATTTGCGAATACCTGTAAATAGATTCGTTGTAACTTTACTCTAATGTTTTACCTTGTGTTATATGTGCTGTTGGTATTCCGAACAAAATAAAATAAAATAAAAATATATAGTATGTTGCCATTAAAAAATTTATTTTCTTTGCCTACTATTTCCATATTTTATCACTGTTCAAACTTTCTCTGGACTTCTAAAAGAATTTCAAGACCAAAATTAGTCAAATTAGTTCAACAATGCCCGAATTTTAGTAAGACTAACGAACAGCAATTTTTTTTAATGAAAGATTATACTTATAGTACGACCACACCTATAAAGCATTGAGTTGAGGATATGCTTGTAGAAATCGTGGTGATAGGATGAACGTTACAGCGTGATTACACAAATTACGTGATTATAAATATTGATTATAACAGAGACACTTAATAACATAGAGCAGTTACTCAAATGATTTAGTCTAAATTATATTCTAAAAATGTGTAGATTACTAAATTCAAAGACCTGCAAAGATTACCATCTTTGATTATATTATCACGTTATGAACAGAATCAAATTTATCTAGAAGACAAGCACAACAGATTAGTTGTGATTTAAAAGTCCTTGAAAAGGGTGTTTGTTCGTTTCCTGCCACTATGGTATGACGAGGAAATCTTTGTATGACATTAACTACTTTAAAACATTTGATTTGGTCAAGTGGTAGCAATAATAGAATAACAGAAAAGACACTATTTTGTGCTTTATTCTCAGCAATTTAATTCACATTTTTGGTAGTCGCGGAATTAACAGGCGATGTTATTTCTACCGTTGAATTTTCAAACAGTCTTCGTTTTTGTATTTCATTCTTTTTTGTGTTCTCATCTGCAGGTTTTGTCACTTCTTTATTTTCTACAGTTTTCGTTGTCTCTGCTGTTGTACTCTCATATTTATCTTTGTCATTTACTTCTTTGCCGACTTTTTTAAGTTCATTTTTCGCAGGTCTGTGAAAGGTTGACAAAAGATTAGTAACTGAAAATTGTTAGAAAGTATAAGGTCCTTCACATGTTTCCTCTTAATTTTATTGTGCAAAATCTCTTTGTAATTAAAAATAATATGTAATTTTATTCCTCATTTCATATATTCATTAAAAAACTTTAATTATTAAAAAGTATTAGTACTTAGTAGGCCAAAACCTCCTTTTTACGGAGAAGCCTATGTCCAGCAGTGGACTATTATAGGTCGTTGATGTGATAATATGATTAGTACTTTATTTAATAATAAGCATTTCTAACTTCTGACAGCAGTAAGGCGCACCAGCAGAGAGAAAGAAAATGGAAACAGCGAGACAGATAGTCGTGCATGACAAATGAAGCATGGGTCCAGAAACCAATCTGATATATCACACCTTACTTAAAAGCAGTTGTCATGACGTCAGACTATTAAAATTAAAACTTCTTCCTCAATATATTCGAATGGAAAGCAAAATTCCATAATATCCTGAGAAATTTTAATTAACCAAACAAATTGTGTATAGGTATAGGCCAAAACCTCCTTTCTAAGGACAGGCCTATGTCCAGCAGTGGACTAGTATAGGCTGTTGATGATTGATGATATACCTATTTTAAAGATACAAGTTCCACAATCGCAATTGTTTTCTTTGGTTTTTCTGAACTATAAATCAGTCATCATATTTCATCACTTATGATATTGCTGTAAATGACAGGTACAGGAGTTGGATCTTTTTATGTTTTAGGAAGCAAACTAGCACACGGATTACCTGACGGTAAATGATTACCATCGTCCTTGACACACTTGCTGAAATGCAACGAGATTATTGCTTCAGGATTGTATTTATTCAGTAAGGCCATAGGTCAGTCAGGCCATACTACTGGGTTGAACCAGGCCATATGTGTCCTAAGCATGGCTCTCCTACTTAACTTTTTATAAATGTAGCGGTAACCCAAGCAACGTTTTGTCTCATCACGCTTACTAAATATATTTATGTAATGTGAGAGTAGTACTAATAGAGTGCAAACTTGAGGATAGTCAAAATAATGCTAATAAATATAAACTACCCATCGGGATGGTCGGCCCAACTCATTTCTACTTCTGTATGTGAGCCGCCAGCTCGGAACAACTTGTCACATCCTCCTCTGAAACAATACATTCATTATTAGTAATTGAAATTAATTTATTTTTTTAATTTGCTTAAACTTAATTTTATAATATTTGTGATTATTTGAATTGAATGAAATTTTGATTATTTGAAATTGAATTTTGTATTTTTATGTAGGTAGTTATCACCCTAAAATACTAATTAAATACCTAGTTATTTTTTGACTTTAGGAGGTTCCATCTTTAATAAAAACACAATCAGGTCGTCTTCTTCTCTTAAAACAATAATTTCTAAAGCTTATCTACTGACTTAGGACTTAAAGTCGCCTAAATGCAATAACTGATTGACTAATTTTTATGACTAAATTTAAGTATGGACTCTCTAAAAATATATTCAAAAGTAATAATGTGTTTATATCTTTAACTAAAGTTAAAACGTGGAACTTACGAAGGATCTTTAAAAATAGCGCAATTAATAAGGACCCGATTCTTCCAGACACTGGTATACAGAAAAGGTCCGTGGCATTTGTTTGTCCCCTCCTTGACGAGGCAGGCCGAGATGATCCCGATTACGACTGAATTTAGACCTGTTCCATAGATTAAAGGTCCGCCGTGGTCGTTCTAAAATAACACATTAACTTAAAAAAAAGTAGAGCTTCATTAAATGGAACTAATCCCTCCCACACGTTCACTACTGTAACTTCTATACTATAAAGATCAATAGTAGTGACTCATGAACACACCGAGTAATGACACTCGGTGTGTTCATGAGTGTGTGACTGTCTTGGAACCCACAACGAAATTATTCAGAAGCAAATTGGAAAATTTGAAAATATAATAATTCCACTAGAGCTGTATTAGTGATTTATACTAAGCTTTAGACTTTGATGGTATAAAGGAAATTGAAAATTTCTATAATACCCACAATCAACAACAGTTTACATAATAAGAACTAAGAACTATTTAGAAATTTAAAAAAAAAACAAAAAAATTAATTAAAATCTAAAACACTTCAAAACGGTTTTAAATATCATGATGACATGTTTAAATCCGCTTAATATTTATCTTTATAAGAGGGAACTTCACGCTTAAACCGCTTAATAAAAAAAACCGCTTAACAGAGTTAAAATGAAATTTGGTATAGAAATAGCATGTGTCCCAGGCTAGAATATAGGATAGTTTTTATCTCAGAAATCATCCTTTAAGGCTGATAAAAGGGGGTGAAAGTTTTTATGGGGAATTAATAACCAGTGAACCAATATAAACGAAATTGGGTATACGTAGGATACATTTTACAGCGAAACCAACATACACGCGGACAGAGTTCCGCAACTCTGCCCCCTTTTGCCCGCGCAAATGCTAGCAATTTTATAAAAATACTTCATTTTACTAAAGTTAAGTCTAAGACTGATCGCAAGTCAAACAATAAATTACCTCACAAAAGCCTCCACTTGCATAGTTGGATTGTTTCCTTAAACTTTTGTGATTAGCAGTGTGCACGTGCATAGTTTCCGGATCCATAGATCGCCTCTCTTCACCTGAATCGTCGTATTGTATGTCAGTGCAGTCAACGTACTTCTCCTGTAAATATTTTGATTTATTTTTTCATAGTGTAGGGGTCATCAGACGGGTCACTTGATGGTAAGTGACTACCTCTACCCATGAACATCTACAACTCAAGAGTGACTCTTGAGTTGTAGATGTTAGTGTGTTGGCGACCTTTGAGTGCCGCCGCAAGAAATAGGAGGCGGAGATGGATTGCGCTTCGGGTAACTTCATTCACCCGACGAAACGCAACGAATGAATTGTTTGTTTTTTTTGTAAAACATATGTGGAGTCCCATGACTCTACCACGGTTAAAATCAATCAAATGCTAGTATTAAATAAAAATGTAACATGGGCAAGAATGGGGAAGTTCTTTCGTTACAATCAAGAGTTAGGCTTTTTCATTAGTTGTTTTACGTTAAGTTCCTGTTTTTATGTATGGCAGGTAAAGGTAGGCATCTATATGTGTATTTGATAAAGATCATGTCCGAGTAAAGCCCCTTAATAGTCATAGTTAAAATATAAATAGAAAGTACGAAAATAATAGCACTGTGATTAGACAGAAGCATGTAAGGTCCTTCAAACTTCACTTAGTAGTTGTACTCTGAACCTCCAGTTACTACGTACTTCATTGAGCGGTAGAAGTTTGCTTTATTAAAAATTGTGTTACCTAAAGTGGCTTACATTTGACCTTTTTTTTTTTCATTAAACCTTAAAAATTGCCATCTAGCTTGTGACATTTGGACCTCCAAACTTACCGCACATATTTCTGAGAGATCCGGCACAGTATCCTTGGTACATATCATATAATTTTCAATAATCTGGTGATACCGCTTTCCCCATCGTTTTTTGCATGTCGCTTTGGACATAATTACTGCTGGTGCTTCTAATAGTTGATGTTTCATGTTATGTGCATTTGATGGCTGCAAAAATCACAAAGCGTTCTATATGTTTGTAGTTTGAGTTCAAATTTGGTTAACATTTTATCTAAAAGAAAAATGGTTTACTCTTGCAATCATTGCATTTACCTACAGTAGAAAAATAAATAACTATAATATTAAATTTTTAACCTCACAGCCTAGATATGAGAATGAAAAGAAATGTCTTTGTTTGTTTCAATGCAAAAAAATCATGACAATCCAATGAGTGAATAAAACCAAACATATACATACAATATTACTCAGAATTAAAGACAAGGAGTACCTCATTGTACCCAAAAGTGCTGCCCCAACCGGCTATTGATCCGACAGTCTCAGGTTCTTCGAACTTCTGACTTTGATTGTTGTAGCAAACAGGGCGAGGTATATATTCGCATCCCCGAATTCTTCGAGTGAAATCAAACTCGTCCTCTGTCTTTACAATCGCAATATCATTATTCATCCATCTAATGTTATCATTTTCATGACCGTCGAATACGTAATCTGTAAACGTAGGATGGTTTATTTATGTAACTACGGCTCACTTCAAGCTTTGCAAGGCCGTAATTACTTATTACCTTCATTTATCTTTAAACTTATCGGTTCAACAATATGTCACAGCATTTTTATCATTTAATTAAAAACTCTCAGTGAGTACCTAGCCGTATCAACGAATAGAAGTCCCACTTAGAATATCACAAAGCTATATTTTCTTTAAAGTTTTAGAGGTAGAGTATTTTCGTAAAACTACACTGATGCCATAAACAGTCTACAATGGTTTCATTGCAACAATTACTATCAGTGTCAATATGGTTTGTAATGAAAGAGTGTCAGTGCATGTTGACGTGTATGAAAGGTTTGATGAATGTGGAAGAGGCGTGAATTGAATGTCAAGATCGTAGTAAATGGCGTTCTATTATCTCTGTCTCCTAAAATTTCAGTGTGCCTATGCGTGACTAATTGGAAATCTATCAAAGAGAGTCTAGAGGCTTTGTTATATCCGAATAAAACCGAACTAAACCAGACCAAGTTAAGAAATCTAAGAGGTAGACTTCTGCTACCTTTTAGAGTAACTATTTATCGGGTAACTTGGACTGTCACTTGACAACTTATTCAAACTCAAAACTCAAATGTTTTTTCTTAAGTAGGGCCAGTTACAGCGTTGCAGTTTCAAACTTCAGAACACTGTTGACCTAAGTGAAAGGTCTTAAAAGTCACATAAATACATTTAAATCCCTATTGCAAAGCCTAATAGAGACTAGTCTGCTGTCACCATAAGTCCATGGTCCATACAGCTAGTGGTTAGAATAATTCACTCACTGCGAGGAACACATTTCCATATAGCTTTCTTGGCTCCGTTTTTAATACACGGGTTATTATGACGGTCAGCGCCCTCGTCGTGTCTGAAAAAAAAAAATGACTTAATGCTTGCCCGTTAATTTTATTCATTTTCTTTGAAGAACAAGGATCCATCCTTATGAACAAAATTAGTAAAATATTAAGGATTTTGTTAACCTATATTATTGTTTTGAGGAATTGTTTATGACTATGTTTCTCTCGAAATGAAAAAAGTACACACCGTTACTTCGTTTATATCCCTACGACTACGTACTCTAATCGACTTGACGATCGCCAGACATAAAGACAGAAAAAGTGTAACGTCTTCATGTATGAGACAAGATTGTTTATCGACACCGTGGTAGAGCCATGAGATTGAGTCACTTATTATCAGATGACCCGTCTGCTCATCTGCCCCGTATTACGCAAGAAAAAATAATTAATGATCACTCTTACTTGATATACTTGGTACGTCTGATTTACTTACTGCACCTAGTATCCCTGGTATGTCTGGCAGTCAATGAAATACTTACAAGTATGTTCCCGAAACGATATAAAAATGTCTAGCATCTTCAATGCAAGCGGCTGAAGTTAGAATATATTCCTCGTGGATGATTACTCCCCCGCACAACCACTGTCTGTAATCTGCGTACTTTGCATTACTTGCTGGCAATTTTAAGTACACCTGAGAATATATAAAGAGTTTTTATGTATTCTGACATCTCATCTACTATCTAAATTTAGCACCTCGCGTGCTCATTGGTCAAATTATAAAGCGCGCTTTCCTGGCCTGTTACACACATCCGACCTTTTTCACTAAATCAGACTCGCAGATTACAAGTAAGCAAAAGAGATGTTATACCTAAAAAAATGGTAATAAGGCATTCATAGATAAATACTTGTTTTTAATTTTTTTCATGAATATAGTTTTTTTTATAAAATTGTAAAATCGTAATAAAGATATTGTAATAAAGATATTTATGATTTAGCTTTATTGAAGCTATACGAGTAGACGGCTCACCCGATTGTAAATGACCACGGTCGCCCTTTAAATGCCCTCTACCTCCGGGGATGGGTCTCCCCCTTTACTAGGGCACAGTGAGGTTGCCCAACCAAAGGACAACGGTAAAAGACATCGTAAAAAAAGCTTAGCACCAGTTTTCTATTAGGCAGAGTTTAAGCTCCAATGTGCAAAAGCATGGTTCTCCTACTGTAATTCCATCTCTTTAAAGTCTGTAGCGAAAAGAGCAAGAACTCTGCAGATTACCGGAGATACCTTCTATACATCGTTGATATTAAATTATCAAGTATGTACTTACCATGTAAGGTCTACTCTCTAAAGCTTCTGATCCAACGACAATTCTTCTCGAATTGTTTAGAAAGTTTTTAATTTCAGATCCATTTAAATTATGCAGTATATGTTCTACTTTTTTAGGAACTGTTGTAGTTATTTGCATAGCATATATGCCTGAAAAGAAACAAAGAAGAGAAGACACATACGGGATGAATAGGGATGTTGACACTCCGTATACGAGGGCGAAAAAGCAACACTACTCCTGTCAACAGGCATCTGTCAGTTGACTCCTGTCAAAATTTGAACTTGCTGCGTCAGTTAGTTTGTGTTTGACAGCTATCTTTATCAGACTACCTAGTAATTTGAGGAAAAAATGGCAAAAAGTGAATTTCGTGTGCTTATTAAGCATTATTTTTTGCGAAAAAAAAAACCATTAGCGAGACCAAGGCTAAGCTTGATATGGTAAAAAAGTGGTTTACTGAATTTCGTTGTGGCCGTACAAGCACTGAAGATGCCGAACGTCCTGGACGCCCAGTTGAGGTCTCTTCACCCTAAACAATCGAAAAAATTCACGATATGGTGTTGGCCGACCGAAGATTGAAAGTGCAAGAGATTGTGGAAGCCGTAGGGATCTCGCATGGCTCAGTGGTTTCAATTTTGAATGATCATTTGGGCATGAGAAAGCTTTCCGCAAGATGGGTGCCGCGATTGCTCACAGTCGACCACAAACGCAATCGTGTAACAACTTCACAGGAAGGTTTGGCGTTGTTTAATCGCAATATGGAGGAGTTTTTGCGCCGTTTTGTAACTGTGGACGAAACATGGATCCATCACAACACACCAGAGACCAAACAACATTCAAAACAGTGGGTTTCTAAGGGTGAATCGGCGCCAAAGAAGGCCAAGGTGGGTTTGACAGCCAATAAAGTTATGGCGACTGTCTTTTGGGATGCACGCGGGATAATCCACATTGACTACCTTCAAAAGGGTAGAACAATCAATGGGGAATATTATGCCAACTTATTGGACCGATTCAATGACGATTTGAAAAAAAACCGACCTCATTTGGCCAAGAAAAAAGTTCTTTTCCACCAAGACTATGCAAGGGTGCACACATGTGCAGTTGCCATGGCAAAATGCAAAAATCCATGAATTGGGCTATGAATTGCTCCCTCATCCGCCCTATTCTCCAGATTTGGCTCCGAGTGACTACTTCTTGTTCCCAAACCTGAAGAAATGGCTTGGTGGAAAAAGATTTGACTCCAATGATGAAGTCATCTCGCAAACAAAGGCCTATTTTGAGGAGCTCGACAAATCATATTTTTTGGAAGGGATAAAAAAATTGGAGAAGCGTTGGACAAAGTGTTTAGAGCTCAAGGGAGACTACGTTGAAAAATAAAATGATTTATTTATCAAAAAATCTGTGTTTTATTCCAAAAGTCACGGACTTATTGACCAGCCCTCGTACTTAATCCGTCACGACACGGATAGATTTTTTAAACTAATAGGATATAAATAGTTAAACATATATAACAATTTAACATTACACTTACCTACAAAGTAACATAATAAACTTAAAACACTTAGAGGATTTATAGAACATATTGTTATCATCTTGGTTCATATCATTTGAAAGAAAATATTAACTTACATAAAGCATAGGTACACGGGAAATCTTGGGATATAAAATTTCATGGTACATTGAAATAGTAATTACTTACATTTTGATTGGTGGATTTTTAGTGACTTCGAATCACTTGTGAACGGTTAAAGCAATATAGGTAACTGATAAATAATTTCAAATACTTATTTCTTTATTAAATGCATGTTATTTATTTTCATATATTAGTGTGCCTACACTCACTCACGTCTATATACCCGAAGGGGTAGACAGAAGACTATTAAACGCCCACGATTTACGTAATAGGAACACATATATTTTTAAATAATCATCACCAGCCTCTACTAGACATACGCCTCTCCTTAAAAATGAGGTTTTGGCCTACTATACCTGACTTGGTATAGGGTTTCTTTAAAATTTTAATTTTTTTTTGCAGTACTGTTGTCCTGCAGAGTTTGCTCCCTTAGTCTGCTATTGCGACACCCACGGGATGAATAGAGTACAGTGTGTCACCACCCGGTGACACTCTGTAGTCTTAATCCGTCACCATATGGACTGGACTATTTCTAAATACTCACCATATTTGTACAACTACCAATGTAAATTCCATATAATAGATAAACTAGACCCTGATACAGAACATATTGTCGTGATCATCACACAATATTTGTCCTGGGTTGGAATCGAACCAATATTGGCTACCTCTCTATCGACTTACCTCTTGTTTAACAGTCAAGATCAACAGGCCCGTTTTATGCGATTTTTAGTAAAAGTATTTTACTGAATAATTGAGATAGAAACATGCGTGATTGAATGAATTAATAATTTAAAACCCACAAAAATATTCCAACGACTTGAAAGGAGTCGATTGCTTTTAAATCAACGTTATTACATTAAAGAATACTTTATTCTAATTTCTAGCTCTCGATCAATCGATCAAATTTATAACGATCGATCTACTACTGCATAGCTAGACTACTCGATCAACGTTTCAAACCGAACCATTGAACGGAACTAAACTCGTTCTATCCGTTTAGGCACTTCTGATATGAAAGAAACAGACAAATGTTAAATTTGTAACATCCTGTTTTCTTCAGTAATTTAAATCACTTTAAAAAAAATATAATATTTTTACTGTCTAAACTAATGTATTTCATTAAAAAACATTATGTATAGTCTTAGGATAATAGTTTATTTATTTTCTTTACTTTTCGTAGATATCAACATTACACATAATTATACACTTTTTATAGCAGATGGACAAACTAAAATGCGGGTACCTGCAGTGCTATTAGACATCGGACTTCAAACAGAGCAGATAGAGCATCGGACTTCAAACGAACTTAGTCTGAAGTCCGATTCTCTGGCAGTACTGTACGCAATGCTGTTTCCTCAGAGAAACTTGGAACTAAAGACTGTAACTTGACTTACAGTGTTTTGCCTTAACAACGCTCAATCAGTTTCGTTACGTCGGTTTAGTATTCCTGATCAACACTTTTGTTATTCTAAAGTATATTTTAGAAGAGACAATAATCTAAAAAAATACTGTATTGTATTGAGATTTGGGTTTTAACATGGTAAAAACTGTGTAACAAAGCTTTCAAAGTCAAAAGTCGTTTTCAAAAGTTACAGTGTATTGAATTGGCACAGCAGAGCACTGCAGATGATAAGAAACTACGACCGCCCATGAAAACCCTATGCCACTTCCTGCTACGCTGAGTGTTGTGAGTTCGATCCCCACATGGGACAACACTTTATGTGATCCACAAATTGTTTTTCTGAGCCTCTGTGTCCGTTTCATGTATGTTTGTAAAATCCCCCGCGACACAGGATATATTCCTGGTGCGGGAGTTGTCTTTTTAAAACATAAAAAACCTGTAACTCAAGAGACATAAGTACACAAGTATGTTGCCACCCATTGAGTACCTCCTTCCCAAGCTAGGAAGGGAGGGGGAGGTCTAGGCCTCCCGTAACATAACTAGCTCAGAGGAAAGCAACGGTTATCTTAAAACGCAATCTCTGCAATCTGGTATCACTCTGGTTGAGCCGGACCATGGCTCTCTCACGGTACATCACAAGTTCTCCAACTGCCGCCATCATTTTGTTGCGGTTCTGTTGTCCCACCTACCTGCAGTGCTGTTTGCTCCTTTAGTAAGTTCTTACATAGTTCTTAATCCGTCACCATACGGACGACTGTTTCAATAATTTGTTTGAATTATCTGGAATGAAATTATCTCAATGCTAAAGGTTCTCATGTTCCCTCGACTCTGTTTATATGTTTAACACGTATGTGTTTGCAAGTCATATTAGATCACTTCAATACTACTTCATATATCTTAAACCACATTGTATTAGGTACACGTGATTGGATGTGAGGTTCCTATCAACCAATTCGTGGCAGTGATTAGTGGAAAAGATGGATTATATTTTGTGAGATCGTATTGTAAACAACTGAGAGAACAATGTACATGTTAAGTCCCATTTCCCAGTCCCGTTCCCTAATCCTAAATGATTTCCTTATCAACCTCAAATAATTGGGCAAAGAAGCGAAGAATAATAACGATGTTGTAAAATATAAATGTAATAGTTATATAATAGGTATCATCCTAGTTTTTCCTTAATCAAAAAAGAAGGATAGGAATGAGAAGGTCAGTTAAACAACAAGGCGATTAGAAAATAAAACAATGATTAACACAATTTATTTTCAATGGCATTATTTGTAATCGGTTTCTTCATTTTTGAACCCTCTAAAGCTCGTTGGCACGTCCTTTTGATTGTGTAACTTTCTAACTTTGTTGGAATCCGCTGGTCTGAAAATGATTAACAATAATAATATAATATTCTACCACATTCACACAACGCCATCTACTCTCCAAATTAAGCAGAGCTTGTACTATGGCTACTAGACAACTGATAGAAATACATATATACCTTTTTTTCGTGAATCCATACATATCATACATAAATCAATAATTAAATGTTCATGCCCACAAATGTTTGACTTGAGCAGGAATCGAACCCGCGACCTTTAAACTTTAACATGGTTGCAAAGGACTTCCCCTATGACCTCTTAAAAGGATCTGGTCTAATTACCTATAACCCTGTATAAAAGTGTAAAGAGGTTGTTCATGAGCTGCCAGTGTTGAAAGGTGAAAAAAATTAAAAACTTGTTACAACATCTTCAACGAATCTTTCTACATGTCACTTGTGTTCAATTATTTGGTTTCAATTTTTTAGTTAGTTTTAAATTTTCAATTTTTTAGTTTATATTCGAATTTTCAACGCTAAAATCGAGGTTGTCCAAGTCTCGATTGAAATCTCTCTTGAACTAAACTCGAACTATAAAAAATCTTACAATGTAAGAGCGGCCAAATTTACCATTCTGTCTTTGGGTAATTAGACCATAAGCATTTGAATACATTTATTCTATGATCGTAATATATTTCTATTACAATGTAATCTTAACGTTATCTTAGGTTGACTGCAACATTTTACTCTCAATATCTCCTTGCCCACAACCTCTCCTTGTTTTAACGATACGATACTAACCACAATTTGATAAATAAAAACAATGTTATTACCCATCAGGATGCTTTGACCAATCGAATAAGGTCTCAACTACTCGAGTTTTTGTAGTTCTCAACAGCTTTTTACATGTAGGTCTAAAACAAAATAAAGTATTAGTTAGTATATATATCATTATATATACTTGTATAAATTAATCAACGTTCACATCTAAGCGGTCACCTATCCCAGTCGGCCTAGTCCCAGGCATGTATTGAGCTTTTCTCAACTATTCTGCAAATAGTCAACGTCACCTCAATGACGTATCGACTCATTCTTTTTATTTGCAACATCTTTCCTGCAATCTGCTACACGCTTCCGTCCCTTTCCGTTCCATCCGGTTTTCGTCCCGCACACGTTGATTGATGTGACCGTCAGATATAGTAATAGGTGAGATGTCAGATTTCACACATACGCAGTTACTGTAAGGATCACTCTTTTAATTAATCTTATATTATGTATAAACATTGCAATATTCTTACTCAAGCTCCTTTTCAATCGCACAGGAGATGAGGTTCCTGTATTTGTAGACACTGGTGTATAAATATGGCCCGTAGCACTTTTTAGTAATATGCTTCGTACGGCACGCTGACATGATTCCAACCACCACGGAGCTTTGGCCTCTACCCACTATAAGAGGCCCACCGTGGTCATTCTTAAAAGAAGAAAGATATTGCTTACAGGTAAACTGAATAAATTAAAGGACCAATCCAGTTTATGTCATGGTGTCCATTAATATTGTTAACGGAAAAGTTTATGAGGATCGATGTAAGAATATTTGTGACTCAACCATACCAGAATAGGTGAATCTATCCGGATGAAATTTGACACACATATAGAGTATAGTTTGGAATAGAACTTTGGAAAATTATTTAATAAAATTGACATAAACGCAGTCGAAGACGTAGATAAAAGCTAGTACAAAATAAATAACGGTCCGTGTATGCCTATATCCCAAAAGGGTACACAGAGGCGTCTTACTTTAAACGCTCCATTTTGCCGAATAAAAGTCCCACTTACGTTATAGGGTTGACCTCTATATGCCTATTGTCATAAACCACACATTTTAGAAGTTAAGTGGGAAAATTGTGTGTATGCGTAAATAAAAGGATGTTAAGGGGTTAAGGGATATCATTTACAAGGTTAGATTAAGCGTGTAAGCAATATAATAATTTAGTTTCCAACCAACCAGAGCTTGTACTCACAAATCATACTAATATTTGGTCACAAAGCAGTCGTATACGCTACCAGTACACCGCCGAGGCTCATTATCTCAAGTATATAACTATCACTCGGCCTAAGAATGTCTACAGTGTATTTTATTACTGGTACTCGCTTACTTCTGAACATGGTGCTAAGTGTAGTGAGCAATGATGTCAATTAAACCTACACATTTTCATGATCGTCGTATTTATGTTTAAATCCACCGATTATTTTTATCACTTACAAAATTTACCTTAAAAAAGTATCACCGTCCTCACGCCTAGAATTATAAAGAAGAATTTTCAGAATATCACAGTTTCCGTAAATTCCCGAATTGATAATTACTATTCATGGAGGATGGAAATTTAAATGTTAGTTAGATTACTATCTTAACTGGTTGTGAAATGTTGTTAATTAATCATGATTTAAATGTTTCGTACAATACCTCACAAAACCCACCACTGGCTACCCTATGCCCTTTTCTCCTAGAATCTAGATGAGCTGCTGTATCCACCTCTAGCTCACTGGGCTCTATTATCATTCGCCTCCGATCTTCCTCAGACTCTTGGTTTTCGCGAGAATACTCCAATTCTTTACAGCTCACTTCTCTTTCCTGTAATTACGTTATCTAAAGATTTGTAATATTTTTTTTTATATAAGAACTTCAAATAAAATAACTGCGCAACAACTAGCATTCATCATCAACAGCCTTTAACAGTCCACTGCTGGGCATAAGCCTCTCTTTAGAAAGGAGGTCCTGGCCTTTTATACCACGCTGGCCAGACGGTTTGGTATGACACACCACCCCGCCGCAAACCCCGGTGGGGTGACGGTCCGAGGGGATTTCCACACGTTAAAAAAAAAAAAAGGGTTTGTGTCAAGTTTTCCTTCTCTCTGCAGTGCTGTTGTTCTGCGTAGTTTTTTCCCTTAGTCGGCTCTTACGACACCCACGGGACGAATAGGGGTGGTGACACTCTGTATTTTTAATCCGTCGCCACACTAACTAGCATTGGTTGGCTGAAATAAATTATGTGTTTACTGCTCCTCAGGGGGTTTTTAAACTTTAATATATATTTGTCTTATAAACATTGTAACTAAATATTAAAGGTCGAAACGAAACGTCAGAACTTTAAAAAAAATCCTAGAGCTCTAATGACCTTAGGACTAAGGCCTTTCATTATAGATGGAGACTTGTGCAATGCAGTTAATTTATAAAGAACTCAAATATATATGGAACTTATAAGAAATATTAACCAAGCATATAGCACTCATGGTTTCCTCATCATCGTTGTCTCTGGTACAGATCATGTGATCATTAATGACAAAATGGTATCGTTGGTCCCAACTCTTCAGACACGTCTTCTTTGAGAGCACAATAGTGTCAGTTTCCAGCAAATCTCTTGAATTATTTATCTTCTCCATAACGTCCTGCAAAGGTGTGATATCTTTAACGCAAAAGTGAGTTTTTCATAAACAGAACATATGACTATGTAAAAAACTTTAATGGGAGTAAAGCCTCCAAGCGAAAGCGAAATTGTTTCTATCTCCCATGAACACCCGCAACCTGTATCCTTTGTGTACATTTCCCCCCGTTTGGTTTTTGGTAACTTCACTCACTTGGTAACTAGAATTAGACATAGGACAAAATCACAGTGAACTGTGAATGAACGGGGATTTATCATTCGATTTTTTCTTACGTAGGTTAGGGCTCACCCACTCACGCGTTGTTGCAAATAAGCTATTTTCAGACGATGCATACAGACCTTATTTCGCTTATTTAACAGTAAATTTAGTAAATATTTTATCATATATGGCTACCACTCTCTACATAATAATTGAAAAAAGAAATAAGATTAACTTTTAAATAGCGTCTAACCTACTTAGCTACCCTTACCTTTCGTCTACCTTTGTGTCCGTTTCATGTATGTTTGTAAAGGATATGTTCCTAATAAATGGATAAGTTATAAAAAATCCTACGCACGCAAAAATCGATTGATAAATTACAGTTCACTGATTTTGTCTCATGTCTAACTACAACGAAAGAGTAGCTTAACAGTGAGTGTGAGGCCTGATCACTGCGGTCGGACTACCACGGTCTCATATATCATGGGATGCCAAATTTCAGAAATTAATAAAGTAGATTTATACGGATCTCAAAAATATGCAATAATTAATACACGAAACTCACAGTAGTATACTTATCCACCGTACCCCATCCAGCCAAAGAGCCCACAGTACCACCTTTCTCAAGGTCAATAGATTGATTATTGTAATACACTTTTTTAGGAATGTAGTCGCAGCCTCTAATCTTTCGTTGGAAATTGAAGTCATCTTCAACCTTCACAACGGCAATATCACCGACCATCCAACGAATATTGTCGAACTCGTCGCCGTCGAAGTAGTATGCTTGTTTAAAAGAAATAATGACATTTAATAATGTACAGGGAATCGTCGGGGGATACTTGGAGATTCTATTATTCCAATATAGAACTGTAATTTCAGTAGCATTACAGCAGCAGTAGTTTGGCATACCCTAGTAATAATGGAAAAGTTAGACAAAAAAAGAGAAAAAATCTACATTGTGTTAACCAAAACTATAATAACTTTCTAGTTTAGGATTGCTGTAAAAAAAATAGGTTAAAAGTTTAATCAAAATATTACCTTTAGGCACACATTTCCATATGGCTTTCTTAGCACCGTTATTTATGCAATCGTTGGTCTTGTCTGAGAAAGGAAGCCATCTGTAAAGTGACCTTATTAATTAGAATTATTTATTTAAAATTATGGCATAGGAGAAGACGAGTCAAGTGGCTACCGCCGCATATGAACATATGCAAGTTGAGATAAGCAAGTGCTTAATCGCCCTTTGAGCTCTTCCCCTCCTCCAAGTATAGGAGGGATGTTCCCCCATCCCTCCTATACTTGGATCTAACGTAACTTAACTCACTCGGTGAAAAGCAAATGCTTAATACCAGTTTTCTGCTGGGCGTGGTACCACTCCAATCGAGCCGTCCGCATATGTGCCAAGGTATGGCTCTCCCACGGACCCTTTAAACGAATGTCCAGAGTACAAAAAGAATTCTTCGGGTATCATTATAGAGGTACTTTGTATTAACTGTAAGGTATCATCTGCATTATGGTATGAATTCTACTTGTAAAGTTTAAAAAATATGATCAGAAGAAGAAGAATATCATTTAAACTATAATGTGTTATCAACATGTTTATTATCTTTATCGGATTAAAACTGTAAAACGCTTAATATAAAGCCAAAAGTTAAAGACTAACATTCATTGCATCATCAGGAATATTAATCATTTTACTTCTAATAAAAATAGCCCTCTTCTAAAACTTCTACAAAATAATTTCCTAGAAAATATTTATACAATTTTTCTGTATCTCTAAAGATATAAAGCCAGTAAAAGACGATGTGTCTCTTCTTTTTTTTTAATTTTATCTTAAAGTTGAACAGTTTTAAACATTATTTCTAAGTTAAAATGTATATCATAGTAACTTTACTTGCTTAGTCCAGAAACTACGTAGAAATTTTTGGCATCTTCAATACAGGCCGCAGATGTGAGTATGTAACGTTCGTGTATAATGACACCACTGCATAACCAATCAGTTTCTATTATTTTAGATTCGACACCTTGAGCCGCTCTGAGGTAAACCTGAAATAAATGTAAGTGGTAAGGCACAAATATCTATTCGCTATCTGTGCTAAATGGAGGGTCATTTTGACTATAAGTATGTGTGTATATATATTTCTTTGGCACACTCTGTAGCTTAAAAGGCTTGTTAGGCGTCGTTAGACTCGTCGTCGTGAGACTAAGTATATCAAATAATAACAATGATAATTTAGGACATCTAACAAACAACACCATCTAGTTTCAAACTAAGCAGAGCTTGTACTAGGAAAGCTAGATTATATACTTTTTTTTTGTAAATACATACATATTATACATAGAAAACACCCAAAAGCCGAAACAAATATTTGCAGATCATGCAAACATTTAGTCCGATCCGGGAATCCAACCCTAGACCTCAGAACAGCAGTGCACCACTGAGGCAGTCAATTGCTGCTTTTTAATAAGCCAGTTTTTTACGTAGGAGAGCCATGGTTCTGTGCCATTTCGATAAACGGGCCCAATTCGACCGTAGATATACTCCAGCCTCACAAAAAACCGGTGTGAAGCAAACATGTCGTTGTCGTCGGGGATCTTGTGTCAACTAGGGTGAATTTCCGTGCGTTTAGGCGATTCTGCCATACATATTATAGAAATCAAATATAGCTCACGTAGGACCCGTAATATTTCGTGGCCGTGGTGCTTCCCTGTTTAAAAGGGCGTATGCCCATTTTATTTCATTTTGTCTCCCGCTTTGCTAAGGAGGGAAGTGGGTTTACTGTATTTCCAACTCCTCCAATTTTCTTCTGATTAATTTCGTTGCGGGTTCCAAGACAGTTTAATTTCTTCCTGGGACTTCCCGAGTGTCATAACTCGGTGTGTTCGTGGGTCACTGCTGTATATCCTGGTGTACAGGAGTTACAGTGGTGGGCATGTGGGCGGGATTAGTCCCAAACATGTCGTTGCTTTTCACCTGGTGAGTAAGGATTAACGGCGCCCAAAACCCTTGCATTGCACGGATGGCGTAGTGGTTTAAGCGGTCACCTCGCCGCTTCCTTCTGTGTTAAGTGTTGTGGTTTTGATCCCTACATAAGACATCAGTTTGTGTGATCCACAAATTGTTGAGTCTGGGTGTTCTTTGATGAATGATGTCCGAAGTCCCATCGGCCATCGAGTACAAGCCCCAGATATCTCATCGAGGGCTCGTAGCCGATGCCCATTACATCCCCCTAAAGTATATTTATATACCAGATGAGTAATAAATAAGTGATGTACAAAAAGGTTTACCATATAAGGTCTTGTTTCACCAGCTGGGCGTCCACTTAATATCCGTCTCAATACTTTTGGCTTTACTTTCGCATCTTGATGTGTTTGATTTGCGCTTGTTTGATTTGTGTTTATTAATTCTGAAATCATAATTTAAGAAATAAAATGTATGAGTAAGAATACGGAGTATCACCACCCCTATTCATCTCGTAGGTGTCGTAAGAGCCGACTAACAGAACAAACTACGAAGGACAACAGCACTGCAAAGAGAAGGAAAACTTGACAGCCCTTTTTTTTTTTTTTTTTTTTACCGTGTGGAAATCCCCTCGGACCGTCACCCCACCGGGGTTTGCGGCGGGGTGGTGTGTCGGACTCGAACCGACTAAAACCACACGGTGTGCCCTCTTTGCGCTTCCAGTTTAGGAGGGGTCCAGGTAGTTATCGCCTTCTGGACCCCTCCTAGCGCCGGCCCGCTCCTATTGCGGGCCCCGTCTCAAGATTTTCCTCTCTTTAGGCGACGTCCGGCACACGCGAACGCCGCCCCCTCGCCCCCTGATCCGCCACCCGGTTCGCCGGCGGCGGATCAGGTCCGAGTGGAGGTCGTCCTCCCGGGCCTTCTCCGCCGCCTCCTTCTGCGATATTACCTCCTCGCAGAAGGTTGCGACCGCGGTAAAACAACTGTCGCTACCGGCCATGGAGCGAATTACGGCCGGTAGCGAGAGATCTGCTCCGATGACTGCAGTGAGGGCCCGGCGCTGCGTCGCCCATGCGGGGCAGACCGCCAGCGTGTGCTGGGCCGAGTCCTTACTGCAGTCGCAGTGGTGGCAGGCGGGACTCAGTTCCCTCCTAGCGACCGAGTGCAGGTACTTTCCGAAGCAACCGTGCCCGGAAAGCACCTGCGTCAGCCGGAAGGAAACGGCCCCGTGCTGCCGCCCTGCCCACTCGGCTATGACCGGCTGGAGAGCCTCCACGACGGCGAAGCCAGCGCGTGGAGTCTCCAGCCGGAACGACCATCTGACCATGGTGGCTCGGCGAGCGGCTTCGCGCCACTCGCGCACGTCCTCGGGCGGAGGGCGAAATCCGCTCTCCGCCCGGAAGTCAGCCACTCGCCGATAAACTTCGGCGAGCACTTCCGCCTCCAAATCCCACGGGGGTGTTCCGGCCAAGGCGCAAGCCGCCTCGGTGGACACCGTGCGGTATCCACGTATGGCTCTGACCGCCAATATCCTCTGGGGGCGCCAGAGGCGCGCCCTATTCGGGGCGGTCAGGGCCGCCACCCACACCGGTGCACCATAAAGCGCCATGGACCGGACAACCCCCGCGTACAGCCGCCTCGTGGGAACACTGGCCCCGCCCAAATTGGGCAAAAGTCGCCCTAGGGCGGAGGCAGTGTCCACCAGCTTCGGACCAAGCTGTCGGAAGTGCTCGTCGAAGAGCCACCTACCGTCTAGGACCAGACCCAGGTACCTCATCTGGGCCCGGACCGGTACGAGGACCGAGCCGACCTCGATTGAGGCGCCGGCGGGTGGACCACGACGGGGCCCATGAAATAATAGGGCCTCCGTCTTATCCAGGGCCACCCGTAATCCCAACGCCTCAATGCGCCCGACCACCTGGGAAACTCCCGTGGCGGCCAGGCGCGCCGCCTCCTGGAAGTTAGCCCCCCGGGCCGTGAGTAAGGTGTCATCCGCGTAGCAGATTACACCCAGCCCAGGGGGGAGACGCCCTCGTAGGGCCCAGTCGTACCCGATGTTCCACAGGAGAGGTCCTAGGACAGACCCCTGCGGAACACCGCACGACATGGCCCTGCGTCTCAAGACGCCATTTCGGTCCTCGTACATGACGGTTCGCTCCTCAAGATAATCTGCCACCAGCCGCCTCAGGTACTCTGGCACTCCGTGGTAGCGGAGCGCTTCCCTGATGCAGCTGAATGGCAGACTATTGAAGGCGTTGGCGATGTCCAAGGACACCGCCAACACCACTCCGCCGCAGCTCACGGCCTCCTCGGTCACGGCCCTAAGGCGCTAAAAAAAACTTGACAGCCCTATACCAACCCGTCTGGCCAGAGTTGGTATAAACTCCTTTCTAAGGAGAGGTTTATGTTCAGTAGTAGATTACTAAAGGCTGTTAATGTTGATAAAATAAGTATTTATTACAACAAGTACCGTTTAAGTAAGGAAAATAATATTAAAATTTACACATTATAAGTCTTGTTAATGAGACAGGGATATCAATGAAGCTACTTTGCACTCTTTTGTAACATTGGCGATATGCAATTGCTATAAAATATTACGACCAGTGCTATACAGCATTAATTTTTTGTTGATATTCACACTTAGTTTCCCTCCTACTCCACTAAGTAATTTACCTTTGTATACGATAACGCTAATGATATGCCCAACTTCTCTTATGAAATAAGGGACAAACGAGGAACTCAAGGAATACTTTCCAGTCAATGTTCATATATTAAAGCGAACCAATTGCGAACCTGGACAGTAATAAAACAGAGATTAGGCATATTGTACTAATAGTTTATATATGTTTACATACTTACCAGCTTTGATTAAAACAAGGCATACTGAAATAATAGCTGCAATATACATTACAATTTATAAAATTCAATACATTTATAACTTTGCATAATAATTTTTGACTTTTCTGAGTCGAAACTTTTACCATTTGATAATATAAAATGGTTCTTTAATAACAAGCCTGAGTGAATTTACGAGCAGTTCGATATTGAATGTCACGCTGAGGCTGCAATCAGATTGGTTTATCTAAACATTGCTTTCTACATATGTAATCTTCTAATATACGTGTATATTGTAGTTCAGCATAATTCCTCTTTCTCCTTTTGTCGTGTTTCTACGTACTGAGGGTCGCGATCGCTTATCTTCATCTATCGCCTTCGATCACTCTCCACCTGTTACGGTCTTCAGCAGTGTGTATCTTCGCTTCGTAGACTTCTTATTATCTTTATGAACTGACAAATGATTTTTATATCCAAAAATTGCTTGCCTCATTGTAAATAAATGTAATAGATGTTAGTACTATTTAATTTGCGAACTTATGAAGGATTTGCACCCGGTTACTTAAGTTTGTGTTCGTCTATTAATTATTGTTTAGGTTAACAAATTTAAGAAATAAATTGAGCTCAAATGCAGGTATGAGTTGTAGTGTCAGTTTTGTAAACGGTATTTAAAGACAGCGACTACCTTTAATGTGACTTGAACGATTTTCTTGTTATTTGTTTTTTTTTCAGCAACAACAACTTTTTATGTTATGCAATCAATCTTCATTTGTTTTTGTTTAAAAAGTAACTAAGAATTATGTCATACTTCGAACTAAAGTAAGATATTATAATGGAATACTTAAGGTTAATGTTATTACCTTTTATTCTAACTACGGTTGGTGAGTGAACGAATTTTATACATGCTTAAACATTGTTGTATGTAATTGTGTTTATATAGTATGTATGTTTTCAATTGTTTCTGAAACATACATAAATTCAAGCAATTATCATTGATGGTTGTGCCTTCACCCAAACACCTGTGATAACTTTTGAAATGTTCTCTTAACAGAAGAATTATCCGTCGGTGCAATATATAACATTACAAATGGTTATTGGCAGCATTGCAAAGCCTTGGTTGGGAATGTAATAATTTTCAAAGGGGTTAATGGAAGAACATAAATTGGGATGAGGAAAGGTTGAGGGATGGGGTAGTGGCAATGGGTCGAAGATTCAATAAGCTGGGCGCGTATATCCATCATGTGATCAAAGATGCTAACAAGACACACATCAACTAACCATAGAAATTAAAGTTAACTAAACTAGAATTCATTATATTTGCTTCCAGCATCACTAAATGAAACAGACATTCCCACTTATGATGAAATGTCTGCTGAAGGTGACTTGCCTCTAGACAATGAATTGGTGTCACACGATGACATGCCTTCCTTACTAACAAGAAGAATAATGAGAGGCCACTTGGTCGGTGATACTAGGCCCTATATGGTAAGTTCAACTATATTTTAGGACACGTATTGACGCTGTTTCAAAAATTTTTTACTCTAATCTCATAAAATCATCTTCTAGTTCTACTTTCTTTATTTAAGTAATTTTTAACATTTCTAAGGCTTGTCTTGAATTTCATTCGAAAAAAGTTACAGATACAAAATTAATTATCCCCGGTGTAAAAACATCGTAGTAGTTTTTTAAAATATTTTCAATTTGAAACTTTTCATATCCTTGCAATAATTTTGAAGTTATGGGTGCACACAGCATTGTGGTAATAACAAACAGCGTTTCAGTGTTACTTATTTATGTTACGATAATATTATTATTTTGAATTATTTGCATGACTGGTTGTCAGGGCCCATTAAGAGATCAGATGAGTGACGCCTGAACGTAACTGAAATGCGATTACTGAGATGGATGTGTGGTGTGACAAGGTCAGGAATGAGTATATATAAAGGAGTCTGAAAGTAGGGCCACTGGATGAAGTTAAGAAGTAATAGGTTATCTTGGTATGGGTATGTCATGCGGAGGGTAGAGGAAAATGTGGCTAGGAAAGTGTTAGGTATGGGAGTTTGAGGGTACAAGAGAAGAGGAAATCCTAAGAAAAGGCATATGGACTGTATGAGAGAGAGGATATGGCTAAGAAGGGTGTAAACAGTGAAATGGCGAATGATAGAGTAAAATAGAATAATAATGCGCCAACCCAAAAATGGGATATGGTTTTTTTTAGGGTAGGCAGATGATGATGAGTATTATTAATAATCTCGAGGTAGACCTTTCTTTACAATAACCTAATTGTGACTATTGACACCTGCAACTACAAAGACACAAATGTGGTGTATTCTTCATCATCTAAAGTAAGCAAGGGGGGGGGGGGTCGGCTTATTTTTAACCTCACTCGGTGAAAAGCAAAAAAAGATTTCCGTATCACCGGTTTTTAGTGAGACAGTAGTGTCACTCAACAGATTTTTTTAGGTATATCTCAGACCACATGCGGACGAGGCAAACCGCATTTTATTTGAAAGTCATTGGACGTGCGGTGGCGTCATTATACATCAACGTTATATTCTCACATCAGCTGCTTGTATTGAAGATGCTGGTAATTTCTACGTAATTTCTGGTACTCATAAGTAAGTATTGTATCTTATCATGTATTGCTGGTCAGAGTGCTAGAGTGTGCTGGAGTAGAGGCAGCGATTAGGCAAACGTAATGTAGGGCGCCCTAAGGCATAATGGATCGACGACTTGAAGAAAGTGGCTGGAATCGGATGGATACGGACTGCCCAATAGCAAGATAGTTTGCGCTCCTTCTGGGAGGTCTTCGATCAGCAGTGGACATCGATAAGCTGATGATGATGTAAGAATGTTACTACTGTAATGGAAATGATGATGGGTAATTTTCATCAGTGCATTGCCCCTTTGAGAGTAATTAAACTCAATTTAGTTAAAAAAATCTATGTGGTGAGGGATTTAGAATGCGGAGTGCTACTATGAATTGGGGTGCTATTTATCCTAAGGGTATCGTAAGAGCCGACTAAGGGAGCACGCATAACAGCACTGCAAAGAGAAGCTAAACTTGAAACAAACTCTGTACCAATCCGTCTGTTCCGCGTGATTTAAAACCTCCGTTTTAAGGAGTGGCCTAGGTATGTCCATCCAGTGAACTGATAAAGACTGTTGATGATGATTATCATGATAGTTATACTGATTACATATAAACTTATCAATCAAGGTGATTAATTACCTATGAAAGATTTGTTTGTATAATATTTATTGCATGAACAGATTTGTGCCCCCACACATCCATGACAATGAATGCGTGAACAACGGAGCTAAGAAAGCCGTATGGAAATGTATTCCAAAGTGTAAGTAGATGCTTTAAACTTGTCGCTTATTTAATGATGTCAAATATTGGTTTAAAAAAGAAACACTTCGTGTTTACTCAAAAGAAATCAGTTATTTTAATGCGCTTAAAATACATCACTACTATAAACAATCGCATGAAAACGCAACAAAAATAGCTAATAGGGAATCTAATAATGCCATTCAAACTGTGTAAAAAGATATTTTTTTTCACTGGCGTTGATTTATTTTTCTGACCCATCATCAAAGGTATCATTAATCCTATCTTCGGCGGAACGTTTCTGTACTGTGTAAGTTACGACAATACTCAGTGTCTTAATCCTCCTATGGAAGACGACAGGTTTTTTTTTTCGTTTTGCTAAATAGCTTCGTGTGTAGGTATACAAGCTGTAATATACTCAGAAAAAAATGGCTTTCTACCTCTGGGCAGGTCTTCAACTATATTTTTTTAAATTACGTAAGTTATGTACACAAAGTTAGTTGTAAAAGATTGCCACAGTGCTCTAAGGCCGCAAATTATTCTAACGCGCATTACAGTGCGTTTTACTTCTGCTTGTATTATATTTGGTGTGCAATAAACCTCTCTATTGCACACCAAATATGCATAATATAAGTATGTATAATATGTATCTTTCATAGTACAAGCTCAGATTAGTTTGAAACTAGATGGCGCTGTGTGTCAGATGTCCAAATATATCCATATATTATTATTATTAAGTCAAGCACTTAGGTAAATAAAAAATTAACTTGAACTATATTTAAGCGTATTTCTTCGACGGCGATGCCTTCGACAACATTCGTTGGATGGTGGGTGACATTGCCATTGTAAAAGTAGAAGACAACTTCAACTTTGAGAGAAGAATTAAAGGCTGTGATTTCGTTCCAAAGAAGATTTCTTTTAACAATAAAACGAGACGACTTGAGAGGAGTGGCAGTATTGCTTCTATTGCTGGCTGGGGCACTAGGAATAGATTTGTAGAAGTAAGTAATGGTTTAAAATGTACGAATGGAGTACGCGGATGGTAGTGCGGATATACATTTCAACGATCGGGCACATGCCATGTAATGCATGCATGATACATTCATGCACACATTACATCACCAGACTTCTACAACACCCATAGGTTGGCTGAGAATGCCCAGGGTATTAAGTCCGCGCTGTACATAGGTTCATAAAGTTGTAAAGAAATAAATCACTACTAGCATTTTTGTTATCATCATATGCCTATGCATATATCATCATTCCATGCCCTTTCCAATTTTAGCAGGTCAGATCATGTATAAGACGTGATTGTATGTATGTATTTATTTATGTATGATTAACCTTTTTTTTCTGTACGGATATTCCCTCGAACACCACCCACCGGTGGGGTGGTTATGTCGGACTCAAAGTGACTAAAAACCAGTCTCGAGTATAAGCAGCCAGAGAACTAGGTGTACCCTAGAAAGGACATCCCTGATACCCCAACAGACCCCCGGACCATCTACGGCTTGTAGATGACCTCCTCGTGTGTGGGTACCACAACGTTCTCAGTCGACTCCCTAAAGGCCGCCGCCACGCTATCGCTAGGGTGACAAACGGCCTTACCTGTCATCCCCAGGTCTCTATAATTAACCTACGCTACCAGTATTCGTATTTAAAACAAATCTTCCTAAAACAGTTGGATGCTGGAACAGGAGTTCATGTAAATGAATCGAAATCTGCAGAAAATTCAGTGGATCTACTCGAAGCTGACGTCATAATAATATCTAAGAAGGGCTGTAAAAAACACTGGGACGAGAGATACCATTTTATTATTCAAGAGGAAATGGTTTGCTCCAAGGACAGCACAGATTATGAACCAGTAGGAGCTGATTGTCAGGTAACTTTTAATGCTTACTGTATTTGTAAATAGCTATAAGTTTGTTTTACACTAAGTTGCAGGTATTTAGTGACGGCGGCAATCGCATGCGATCCATCTGCTCGTTTGATCTCTTTGAGAAAATATACTTTTTTTTCAAATACGTGCACAAATTTCTTCAATTCTTACTTTCTCACATTTCGGGGTATAATTTTTTCTTAAAATATGAATGCATGCAAACAGGAAGTATCTCCTTAAAAAAAAGAGTTTTTCAAATCGGTGCGTTTATGTGCGTTTATGTATAATAAATATACGAAAAAAACAAAAAACATACCCTATTCTTTTCAAAGACAGATGAAAATGAAAATACCTGCGACTCAAAAATCCCTTCATCTGCTGAACCGAGTCCTTACTGCAATTGCAGTGGTGTCAGGCGGGTCTCAATTCCCCCCTAGACCGAGTGCAGCTACTTCCCGAAACAGCCGTACCCGGAAAGGACCGGACCGACAGCTGTTCCCTGATCCCTCCAATATAGGGCACAGAGTGGCACATTGTATGGTTTTAGTAGATTCAATTTCACCACCACCCCCATGCAAATCCCAGTGGGGTGACGGCCCAAGGGGGTTTTCTCACGTAAAAAGTTTAAATATGTATGTAAATCCGCCACTGAGATAACGGACAGCGATAATATACAATCTTGCTCACCGGAAAAATTGATTTGTGACAATTTCTCCATTCCTAACTACTCAAATTTCTTGCAGATATATGTTAATTTTTACCATTATACATATAAAACCAATGCCGAGGGTCTTAAGAAATTGGTCTCTCAAAATTAAACGTGGTTAAGTTCATGCACAAATACATACATATTTTTTTACGGTGCTGTGAGTCTAGTGGTTAGTGACCCTGACTGCTACGCCAGAGGTCGTAGGTTCGATTTCCACCAATTCTTTTTTCTGTGCGGAAATCCCCTCGGATCCCCGCACGCCGTCTCAGGTACCAGTAGTCCAGGTACGTCTCAGGTACCAGTAACCAGGTGTACCCTAGAAAGGAAATCCCTGGTGCCACGACGTACCTCGGGCCATCTACGGCGTGTAGACGACCCTCCCTGTGTGGGAACCCCCATGTTCCCTCTGTGCTCCCGGAAGGGCGCGCGCGCTTCATAAGGCGCTCGCCGTCACCCCGGCCTGCTTCTGCTCAGGTGACAGAAAGCCTCACCTGTCACCCCAGACCTGCGTTTATGGAGGACGGAGGTCTGTCTGCGACCTCCGGCGCCTGAGTCGTCTACGGTACCTCGCCCGTTCCCGAGCCTGGCGGGCCGGGAGAGTTCTAAACCTCTCCCGGTCCCACTCCGCCATCTCTTTCGCAAGCATAACTTGCTCGCAGAAGGAGACGGCAGAGTTCCACGCACTATCGCTCCGCACGATAGCCGCAATAAGGTTATCGAGTGAGAGAACTCCCACTTCGATGGCCGCCACGAGGTCTCGCCTCTGCTCCACCCACGCCGGGCATTCTGCCAGCTTGTGGAGCGCCGTGTCCACGGTCCGACCATCGCAGTGGTGGCATTCAGGCGTTGGCTCCTTGCGGATCAGACATAGGTGATCCGCGAAACATCCTTTCCCAGTGATCACCTGCGTCAGTCGGTATGAGAGGGTCCCGTGATGCCTCTCGAGCCAATCCTCTTGCCGCCGCGATGACGGCGTGCCCGAGGTTCGATTTCCACCCATGTTAAATAATAGTGTGATAAGCTCGATTATTTGTTCTGTATCTGGGTGAAATTAATCTATTATTTGTATGTATTAAGAAATATATAAGTATGTTTATCAGCAGTCAGGTTCCCATAGTAGAGGATCTGCGTAATTTAGGATCAGACTACCACAGACTAATGTGTGTAAGATGTGTGAAGTTATTATTATTTTTAAGATTGCCTACCACTATTGATACAACTTTCGAAGTATTGTTCAAGGTAAGTTTAGGCACTAAAGGTTACCAATTTACTGTTGTACACGTAAAGTAACATACCTAAATAAATAATAAAAATACCTGTCGCCACTGATGAGGAGCATAATCTGTGTACACTATTTCTACTTCTATTTAGTATTCACATTAACTTGAAAGTAAATACTGCCTGATTTTTACAAACCTGTAATTAAAAAGTCCGGTAAAACTAAACTTTTATAATTTAAAATAGGAACATGGAGTCAACTGTAAAGAAGTGGGCCACTCCGATGAAGATTACTATGAAGATACCATTAGAAGAAGGATGACAGATCGTAAAAATTTAATTGTACACACGGCCGGTCATCGCAGTCCTACTAGAAGAAGTAGATTGACTTCTGGAGGGTTTTGCGAGGTAACAAGTAAAGCCGGTTAAAAAGATGACCGTAAATATTAAAAAAATGTATTTCTGTTTAAATTAAACTTTTACTGGCTATTACAAGCTTCTTATGTAAATATTTTAAATAAAGTAATAAGTTATTTGACGTATTGGAGTTGGACCCCTAAAAAGTTCGATAACTGTTTACCTACTACAGAATTTCGATATCGCTTAGTACTTGGGTTGTCAGTCAGTCCACATAAGAAATAATACGTTCAACCGTGTCGTAATAGACTGGATGCTGTCCCCTTCCCAACCTAGTTTGGGTAAAGGCTCGGAGGACTATTATGTATTTAAATTATCACATTATAAGTAATAAGTTAAAAGAAAATTGTCCTGCTGTTCTAGAACGACCACGGCGGGCCGCTAATCATCGGGCAAGGCAAGAGCTCCGTGGTGATAGGAGTCATGTCGGCTTGCCTGACGCGGGAAGTTAGCAACAGATGCTATGGTCCATTCCTCTACACAAGCGTTTACAAATACAAGGACCTTATCTCTTGTGCCATCGACAAAAGTCTACAGTAAGTTGGTTCTAACCTATATCCACCGGGCCGACCTAAGAACTGATTTCAAGTTGACGTTAGATTTCTGTCAAGCATCAAACCTTGATTAGAAACTATATTTAGGCCTCTTCAGAGAACAGAGCTTTTTATGGTGGAATAAAGGTACCACGTATCTCTTTCTGAATTTACAATGAGTTCTTGATGTGTGAACGTAAGAGATAATGAAACGCTATAAGTTAGGAGTTAGGACCGAAGTACAGTGAGTGCGAGAGACAAAGTGACCCTGGAGAACCCTTGGGCCGTTGTTAGCCATACATGATCACTTAGCTAGGTCGAAGAGGCTTAGCTTTGAGTCATGTAGATAAATTAAAAGTATGGTGATGCAAACAAACTGTTTTAAAGAGCTAACATGTGTAAATGCGAGGCGAGCCATGCTGAAGGAATATGCTACATTCTGCCTAATTCTATTCTACCGACTGTGCCATTTGTTCACATGGATCTCTTCTTTTTTTTGCTTCGTTAGCTGTTGTTGCTTGCTTTCATATGAGCCAGAATGCAGATGACCTCATCTAGAACTCACCTCACACTCACCTTTGCTTACAGAGAGGAATGTAGATTGTTACTAAAATCTTCAAACACTCAGTTGAAGAAAGAAGTCTTCGATTGGCGCGGACGTTATACCATGTGAGTTTTACATATATTATTTAAAAAATATTAAACATTTACCTACATTGGCTTGATCTTTATTACGTAGGTAATACGCCTCTAAGACGTCTGTCTTCGGGGATACAGACTTGAATGTACAAATACTTGCTCCTTACTGTAATTTAAGATGCTTCCCTGCCAAAGGCCGTAGCCGCACTACGTGTTTATTATAATACAATTTGAAATACATTATTATTTATTTTTTATAATTTATTTATTAGCAGTTATTCTCGTAGAGATTTATTAGCGTTCGTGTCGCTTTAACGGAAGATGAGTGCCGAACTTCCGTTACATCATAATGTTTTAAACAAAAATGCAGAAAGAAGCACTTTTTCTACATTTATAATATTATATTTATTAATATATTATATAGATGAAACCTTTGATTATAGAGGTATATTCTTTGACAAAAGAATGGGGTTCAATAAAGTTCAAACTTAAAAATTTAATGAATTATGGTAAAATTTCGGCCATTGGGCCACCACTCATCTATAATACTACTATAAAGCAGATGAGTTTGTTTATTTGGTTAAGCACACTAATCTCAGGAACCACTGGTTCGAATTGATGAATTATTTTAGTGTTGGAGGGCCCATTTATCGAGGAAGGCTATAGGGTATACAACACCGCGCTACCATCAATAGGAGCCGAGTATCAATGAAAAATGTAGTGAAAACGGGAATATTTATTCCTTCTGAAGCCCACAAACGGATTTGCGCGGGTTAGCTAGTTTATTACCTATATTGTTTTAAAAAAAAGACAACTCCCGCATTATGAATATATCCTGTTTCGCGGGGGTCTTTACAAACATACATGAAATGGACACAAAGAACCCCCGACTCAGAATAACCATTTGTGGATCACACAATGTGTCGTCCCATGTGGGGATCGAACCCACAACACTCAGCGTAATAGTAACTGTAGTGACGACCGCTTAAGCCACTACGCCATCCGTGCAGTCATATAATAGGTATTATCACACTACCTTCACGATGTTGTTTAACATTCTAAAGAAGTTCTTTTATTATAACCAGGGCTCTAGATATGTAGTGACGAAACCAAGCGTGGTTTAGTCGGTTCAGACTCGATATAAGGAAGATTCGTAGAGGTTTAATGTACATACTTTGTAGAACATCAATATAGGCTTATATGATTTGATAGATATTGGTATATATTTATCTTTATATTTCCAGTCAACGAGAATCAGATGAAATGGATAAAAATCATTGGGTACAACGGAAAAACAACCAATTACCAACTGACGACATAAAAACACAGTCACTAGGAAATAATGAAAGGAATCATACGAAAGGACAGCCAGAATTGAACAGCGAATTAAACAATCATCAACACCGAAGAGCAAACTACAAGAATAAAGAAAGCACAGAAGATCCCTTGTCAATTAAGAATGTCATACTACGAAGGTATTATAATTAAATGTTTGATAAACAAACTTTAAACTTTTATTATTAGATATATAATTTACACATTTAAAGTCGATTTAAAACAGAAGACATTGACAAAGCCGGAAACGAGGGAAGAACTGGTGGTCCGATGATAGGACACCAGACATTGGAGAAAATTATTCTCGACATAAGTACAGACAATTGCAAATGATAAAAAATATACAAAGTTCCTACGCCTAATCCAAATATTTGTTTTATTACTACGTATTAAAGCGCGTTTTACTATGACTACTACTGCTGCGACATCGAGCTAAGGTTATAATCTAGTAACATCATAGTGACGTCACATCAGAGATCAAGAGCTTACTCAGGAGGGAGCCGTTGAATGGTCTGTTCTGGTCTGTCTATGGTGCCAAAGGCGGCGTCTCTTTTAAATAAAGGTCCATCACACTACCTACATGATGTGGTTCAACATTGTGCAGAAGTTTTTTCTTATATTATAACCAGGACTCTGGATATGTAGTGACAAAACCAAGCGTGGTTTAATTTAATAAAAGGAAGATTCGTAAAGGTTTAAAAAAAGAAGAACACGACATTTTTTTTTCTGACACAACCAAATTGATAGTCACTGTTTTTAATTATTGAATTCATTATAAAAGCCTATTTACACAAATAGCCATATTAAACCCACCACGCCATCTAGTTTTGGACAGCTTTCCACTCATTTGAAGATCAAGACATTTTTTGTCTTGTAAACACACTAGTTACCTAAAATCACTTAATGTAAAAAATCCAATTATCATAGTGAAAAAAACCTTTTGTATCTAAATCACACACATTTCTTACAAATAGCATGTTAGCCTTCTGAATTAAATAGTTAGTTTAACTTAGTAACACTAGATGGCAATGTTTTTGTTGTTTTGCTACCAACCGCTAGATGTCGCTATAGTTACTAACATTTTCACGGTTTTCGTGCAGACAAAAAACGCACTTCGGCACAGTAATTACTGTCAACACAGTAAGGAAGATTTCAATGTTAAAGATGCAGAAAGAAGGCCTAATTTGATTTCATCATCATTAACACCCTTTACTAGTCCACTCCTGGACACAGGCCTCCTTAAAAACGTGAGACTTCTATTCTGCATATCAATGATATGTTGCGTACTAGTAGCATCCATTGCTATGCAGGTGATAGCACGGGAGATACCTTTTATACCTAAACTTGTGTCTGAAATTGAAACTTCATTAACGGAGTTTTCACATTGGGGTCGTCTGCATCATCCATTTTAACCAAAAAAGGTTTGCGCGTTCACCGCAAAAAAGATACCATTTGCCGTATCGCCTCGGTTCGGACATCTGCAGCTGAGTCCCGTTTCGCTGCCATTTAGAGGGTAAGGTCAAATTCGCCTCGAAGAAGCTCGATGTGCTGAACAGATCGACCCAGTATTTCACTCCAGCCCATTGTCTCCAACTATATAAGGCGCAATTCCGGCTGCATATGGAATACTGTTATATGTATGTATGGCCGGACCGATACAACCTTCAACTTAAGAAAAGAGCGTACTCCTTCTTCCAAGGCCGGCAACGCACTTGTGACTCCTTAGTTGCAGGGGTACTATCAGGTGACCTGTCTGCTCGTTTGCTTCATTACATAAAAAATGAAGTTTTGGCCTACTATACCATGCTGGCCATACACGGGTTGGTATAGGGTTTCTTTCAAGTTTTCCTTCCCAATGCAGTGCTGTTGTTCTGCATAGCAGCATTAGTTGGCTCATACGACACCTGATGCGGATGAATAGGGAACACTCTGTATTCTTAATTCGTCACCACAAGGATCGTATTTGCTTGAATGACGATAATTCCAAAGTAGGAAGTCTTCAATTCATGCAGAAAACGCATCACATGCAGCGTAGTAGGTACCTACACGTAGTTTTGATCAAGAAGTTCAACAGTCATCTTGTATACTATCGATGTAAATTATTCCCTAGCCAATCATTCAACATACTCCTAAACTGTACATAAAAAAATAACAAAATGAAATATTCCTGTCAGCTGTGAAGACTTGGAGTGGTTTTCGAAATGACCTACCTAATGTAATATTAATGGATTTAAAATACTATGTAATTATATGGCATCGTTACATATGTATAACGGTTTATAACTACTGTTAAATATGAACAAGACAATTATATGCTTTTAGAACAAGACATACAACAGATATTTTGCGATTCGAGCCAATTAAGTGTGTGGGCATTATTTCAGTATTCAAAATAACGCTAACATTGCTCACACTGGTTTTAAATACAATGGTAATTAAAAACAAGGCCAGAAATCGATTGAAAATAAGTGATGATTTGCATGTAGCTTTGAGTAATAATATTAGTCCTAGGATTGCTGAACTTGTGCAGAAGATGCATTCACAAAAATCACAATGACTCAAAACTTACATTTTATTTCTGTTTAAGAGCGATTTCATTTTATATTATGTAAAGATGATTTTTACAGGGCTGTCTCATAGAAGTGATCTGAAATGAAAAAAAGGCCAGTTACATAAAAAACATTATAAAGATAAAATAAATATTCAATGAATTACCTACTTCTTAAATAAATAAAAAAAGCAGTGTTTGCTTACGACCGAACGTCTTAAAGAGGGAAAACCAGTAGCGGAGATGATCTACTTGGCAAGTTTAACATATTTTTATGCTATAGGGAACAAACGAGCAGACCAAGCCCCCCCCCCCTTCACCCACAGAAATAGGGGGAAAGGGGTCTCGGTTAACAATTGCTTAGCATAGGTTCTCTGCGAGACTGTTGTACCACTCCAGTCGAGAATAAAAATGGATCCCTCACGGTAAAAAGCTTTAAAAAAGGATTATACTTTAGTTCTTAAATAAATCATCTTTGATATCATAATTAAAAAAGCTCCAAGTACAACAGTTTCATTCTTTGCCACCGAAATCTCATATTCGCGAATTTTAAAAAGCTCTGCCTTTACTGCTGTAGTACGCCTAGTAGCCTAAGTTACTCCTTATATAAACAGCTAGGTACCTGGTAGTAAAATATTATCAAAATCGGTAATGCCGTTTTGAAGTTTATCCGGTACAGACAGACAGACAGACATAAAATATTTAAACTGATTTTTAGGCATATGTATCTTGCAAATAACCGTGTAAGCATGAAAAAACAGACACTTCAATTTTATTTATTTGTATAGATATCAATCAGAGTAATCTGCTATTTCCGAGAAGCAGCATTGCAATGGGCCGATATCATGATGAAATATAACAAACTAAATAAAACACCCTCCATTCTTATATCACACACTTCAGCGCATTGACATTGCTAGAATTGTAGACATCGCATCTCTTGCAATGGAAAAAATATAATAGAGTGGCAACTGTATTCTCTTCTTTATTCCTTCGTTGCCCAGCCTCAGGAGTAGTACTTTCTTTTCAAATTTAAAATGGACAAAAGGGGCAGTACCTATTTCATATGAAATAGCAAAAGAATTTTATAAATAAGTTCATCAACGATGGCGTTCTGAGATTTGTGAACCTCCATATTTTTAGTCGAATTATTTTCCGTCTAGAAGCCAAACACAAACACGGAAGGCCTACTTAGATAATATGACTACTAACTTAATGTTTACTTTACATAATACACACATACATTGTCGTATTTTTCGGGATGTTTCGTTCAAATAGCGTCAGTTGCTGTTACGGGTAATGTTGTTGTTACTGAAACTTATATATTTTTAACTTAATGCACAAAATGCACTATACTTTCTTTAATCATTTTAAAATAAACAAAAAGAACTAAATGTTAAGAAATAGCGGGTCGCACACTTAGGTATATTTTTATTAACGTTTTCTTTACCAGCACCAGAATACCTCATCAACAACCTTTAACAGTCCACTGCTTCATATAGGCCTCTCCTTAGAAGTTAGGTTTTGGCCTGCTATACCACCCTGGCCAGACCGGTTGGTATAGGGTTTGTGTCAACTTTTTCTTCTCTTTGCAGTGTTGATGTCCTGTGTAGTGTGCTCCCTTAGTCGGCTCTTACGACACCCAAGGGATGAATAGGGGTGGTGACACTCTGTATTCTTAATCTGTCACCCCATGAAAACCAGAATACCTATGAGGGCAGAAAGGAGAAAAGTACTTAGATACGAGTATTATTGTGTGTTACCATTCCCATACATACAGCCATACCGGCTCTGCCTTGTTTGGGACAAGTCGTGTAAAAATCTTTTTTTTTTAAATAGTAACTGATCTCAAACTAGGCTGAGCCTTTATTATGGAAACAAGACTCCTGATAAATATACTTTCTTAAAACGTACATATTACAGATACATTTAAACCCAGACACAGAACAAATGATCGTGCTCATTCCAGAATTAGATATTTGTCCCATCGGTGGTGGTTCCCATGTGGTGGGAATCGAACTCAAGATCTCTGGCTTAGCAGGGTCACTAGACACTACTTGATTTTCAAAATATGTTTATTTTAACCATCTAATAATTTAATGAACTTAAGACAATTTTGATAGACAAATTGCCACGCTGAATTGCAACGCTAAGCTTATGTTTACTCATAAGTACACCTAAATATTATTGTATCTACGTTATATACTTTGTTTCTACACCTATGCGTTAAAAACTCCTAATATTAATGTTAAACTAGCCGACCCGAGCGTCGTCAAAAATACCCGTTTTTGCAAAATTTCCCATTGATACATCGTTCTAGTTGGTTGTAGCGGGATATTATAATAATATAGCATGTGGCCTTCCTCGGTAAATAAGCCATACATCACTAGGCGGATATTTTATTTATAATAAAATAATAGTTATATAATCATAAAATAATAATATTCTACCACAACAACGCCATCTAGTCCCAAACTAAGCAAAGCTTGTACTATAGGTACTAGACAACTGATATAAATACATATATAAGTACTTCTTTTTTGTAAATACATACATATTATACATAGAAACACCCAGATTAAATCAAACATTAAATGTATATGCACACAAATGTTTAACTTGAGCGCAAATCGAACTCGCGACCTTTGCAATGGCAGTCCGTTACACAAACCACTACGCCATCCGGTCGTCAATTCCAACCAGTAGTTACTGAGATCAGCACGTTCACCCAAAGAAACAAACTATTCAACTTTATATTATGAATTCTACCCTAGTCCTAAATTTATTTGGGGTCGGTTCAATGAGGTTTCTTCTTCTATTCTTCTTGATCACTCGACATCCTCTTTCACGCACTGCTTCATTTCATTGCCCATTTGGCTGGTTTGGTTTTGGCTTTTTATATTAGATATGGCCGCTCGGTCGCCTTAGGTTTATCTATACTTATGTTTTATTATTAATGTGAAAGTGAGTTTGTTTGTTACTCTTTTACGCCTAAACCACTAAAACGATTTTAATAATTATTTCACCAATGGAAGGCTACATTATCAGCGAGTAACGTAAAAAGTATTTACCGCGATATCCAACATAAACTCGGCCGGAGCCGCGGACAAAATCTAGTAGATAGAATAGCATATGAATGTCCATTTCCTAGGTGTCCTTCAAATCACAGGACCGGTCTTTTCAAGCTATCGCAGTCTTAGCTTCGTTTCCCCATCCGAGACTTGCAGCAGCCCTACCCTAGATCTATCCGTTTTCCTAACAGCGATTTACTTTTTTACTTTGTACCGTCTGAAAACGACTACCTAACGACTTACATTCCCAAAATGGATTGGTGTAAGGTAAAGGGGAATCTAAAATTCAGTTGATCAAGTTTTTTTTATTGAAGTTAGTTAAACTTTAAATTAAATAATTACAACTTATCTAACTAGTACTTTACAACTAGTAAATTTTCAGCTAAACGTGTTCCTATTTTGAGTTTAATTATAATTAAATGGAGCGAAGTCATCACTCGCTGGGCGAAAACGCACACCTCCAAAATTAACAAAATTTTGTTTCCCCCTTCGTACCCAATTACGTTATTCCATTCATTATGATTGAGCATTACAGTTAAAGGCATATTCATTGCCGTATCACATAAAACCATAATCTAACACCCTTTACCACTCCGACTGTCGGATACAATACTATAAAGTAGCTATCTTCAGTAATACATTATCCTTACTTATCTATGGCCATAACATGAAACTTGGGATCTATTTTATTATAAAGTGCATTGTCTACTGGAGAGGAGGTCGGTCGACCACCGAACGTAAATAATTTAACTGTCTTAAAAGATTCAAAAATAGTTTCCTAACATTGCCCCCCTTAATATGTACACCATTTGTCAGGCCATAACTGGATTTAAACGACGCGTTACACGAAAAGGGACACGCCCTCTCACTGATGTATAGCTGTCTCTTTCTATCGCAAGTGAGCTAAACGGCATTGGTTGTGTCTATCTTTGTTTTACAAATGTTCATAGTCATGTTTACCTTGTTACAAGACAGCCAAAAATGTGCTAAAGACCAACATTCGTTCCGTGAGTAAAAACTTTATATCCTAGTGTAGAGGGTTCAATATTGCTTGTTAATGGCATTATAGGGGGACTCAATTGAAGCGAGACGAGCCACGAAAGGGACGCAGCGAATCGTTCTGTTTAAGTTAGTGAGTCCAAACGAGTTTTTATGTTTGGAAATCGTATTAAGCTTTTGTTGGAAACTGTTCCACTCAGCGGGCATAGTTGAGGCGTTTGTGCGGTCAAACTATCGGGTTTAAATTTCGAAAAGCAGTGGGGATACTGCTGATTGGCTCGTTTCGGACGATACACTGTGTAACGATTCGGTCGCGTGCGGTCGAGCGTAGCGCGCGAACTCAGATTTTTGAAATAAGAAACACGACTTCGTATGTTTCATTCTTATTTTGGATTTCGAATTAAGTTGATCCAAATTTAAAATAGTGCTGTTAAAAATGTTATACGGCCATACTTGTCGGTGAAGACAAAATATTATTGTGTTAGTGTTTTGATAAACAGTTACTACAGTACCTAGTAAAAATGTCTTCAGTGCATTCTGACGAAGACCAGGAGGAGATCAACGTGGACTCTGACAGTAGGCTATCTGGTCATTGCGACAGAAGCATTGCTTCAGAGGATCGCGACTCTGAGCATAGCTACCATGACAGGTATCATGATTCCCCAAACGAACATATGACTAACACGCAACAAAGGGTGAGCCTGCCTTTCAGCATATCCCGACTTTTAGGAAAACACTTCGAGGATATAGAGAAGCGTCGAAATTCAGGGGAGAGTGATGACAGAAGTGATCAGGACACTGAATCGGAAAGTGCTAAAGATGATGGAAAAGACAGTTCTGGTTTGCCTTTTAATCTTTCACATACGCCTGGTTTATATCCTAATTCTGGATTGTTACTGAGACCGGGGTTAGGAATCGGAGCTGGATATGGGTTTTCCAGTAATCCAGGGGTTGTTAGAGTACCTGCTCATAGGGCACTGGGTGCTTTGGGTGCGTGGGGTGTGACAATGGATCCGATGCGGCAGGCGGCAGCAGCGGCCTTCGCACACCAGATTGTCAAAGACAGATTAAATGGTAAGTTACACATATCCAATGCCTTTACAAAATTTATTACTGTAGAAGAAACCCATAAGAAACTCGCCAAGAAGTACAGATCAACAAACTATTTATATATATAGGTAGGTATTTCTTATTTTTATTTTAGGTATTTCTGTTTTTACCTGTAGTCATTGTCTGATATATTAAATGAAGTCGATGAAATCATAGCTTTAAAATAAAACATAATACTATGACACCAAATGGGAATTTTGCTAGAATAGTGAAACGAAAAGTTGGTAAGGGTAGGCTTTGGTATTTGGTAGGTAATAACTATTGCTTATAAGGATTACGAAATGTAAAATATAGGTCGAGCAGACCCGGGTCTATTCCGAGGTGTGACTGTTGCCCGAGTTTTAAAAAAAACATCGTAAATTATTAACTACATACATATACCATAAGTAGTCCAATCAATAATTTTACCTGCACTTTAAGAAATAATTTTGCACTAAAAGTATAATATAATATAATATATCTCACACATCTCACACAAGTTAGTATGTTTCTACATTTACAAAATGTAAATATTATTTTTTCATATTTGACATAACATAGTGCATACATAATACGTATCAATGCTTTAAATCAAATATGACATGTATTGTTTTATTCTATATTATATATTATTCACTATTCAAACATCACACATTTTCACCTCACAAAAGTAGGAAACCCAAAAAACCCGAAGCCTAAAAAACATTTTTTCCTCCTTTGTTTATAAAAAGGGACGAAATTGGGTGCCAATGTCCTCTAGCCCAATTACCCTCGCGTGTGATCCGATGACACAGCTAGGGAACTATTTTTTTTTACCTTTTTTTTGGTTCCTCGGAGGCGAGATTGCAGGCGCCGCGTTCTATAATTTGTCGGCCGCCGGTCAAGTTGGGGACAGATTTTTTGTAGAATGATTCTGACAAGAAATGACTTGTTAAGTTCCACATTTCGGGTGTAACGTAATTGAGGTTTGCTTTTTTTTGTTTTATTTGCAGTTCGCTTTTGTGGTCATGTATTATTTTGGTTTCATAATAATTGCGTAGATCTCATTAATTTGAATTCTGAGTACTAGATCTAAGTGATAGTTACATTTGATCCGATATGCTCGTATCTTGTGCGTGCTTCTCGAGATTGAAAAAGGAATTTTAAAATTAATGGTTCCGAGGTTAGTTAAAATAATAGGCAAGATCTGCACAGAGTTTGGTGGCCCTTAGTTGGAGGTTTGTTGTTGAAAAATAACATGGTTTTAGTAGGTTTCACTACCAACTAACTATCTTGTAGTATACTGGTTCGTATTACAGACTTGTGACGTAGAAGTGTTACGTGAATTCTGTAGATCTCGTTACAACAGATGCCGCAATATCTTACTGTTTACAGTTCAGACTACTAATACCTTCAGATTTGTATATTCATCAAATACATTGAATTTAATACACTGAATATTTTTCTCTATTTTTATTTAAAATTACTGCAAAAAAAACAAATATTAAGTTGCTTAGCTTAAATTTAATACCTTACCTTTTATTACCTTAATGTCAACGGAACGGTCTACATATTTTTAAAAATAGCCCAAAATCGACAAGTCAAGGTATTCGACAAAAGAGACAATTCAGGTACGAAGTTTAGTTGTCCTTTTTATTTGCACAACGCTGACCTTACTACTTAATTTATAACACCCATTTTGACAATTTACGTAAAACGGAACGACAAAAGCCTTTCGGAAATCAAACGCACGGCACCGATTTTTTGCGACCACCGGCAAAGAGGAAGCGGTAAACAACCTATAATTGAGACAATAGCTACTCGGAATGGGACAATCGTACGTGTTTCGGAAATGCTTAGACCACGAAAAAGTTAAAAAAAAACTTTGGCGCCAATGACCACTTTCAACTTTTTTTATTTGTCATTGAAGTACCTACTTTTTTCAAAAACCTCTTTAATGAAATCATAATTAGAAATTTGTTGATGGTATCAAATAATCTACCAAAGATGTAAAGTATTTTTTTTTGAAATTATAATTCGCAAAGCAATGCTAACAAATTAATTATAAAATCATTTTATCATCATGATTACATATGACCTATAAAGTCGTTGCTAATGATTTTTTAAAATTATTTTAGATTTTAAATACATTATTTTAGCATTTTTATTTAAAATTGAGATAAACAGTTAAATTTTCACTTCTCTACATGTCATTACATAGGCGTAAAAAGAAAAAATAAATTAATAGTTAATAGTAAAAATAATTAATAGTATATATGCAAAAAAACAAAAATAAGGATTAAAAAAGTAGAAACTTAAAAATGATTGTTACAGTCTAGCTATGATAATTGTTTTTACAACTAAGGTGGCAAAGTAGCATATATTTGCAGCAAGCTGTTATATGAAGTTATATCTACGCAAGTACCTAACATAAGGAACGATTACGTAATAGGAACACTGTATTCTTAATCGAAGGGAACAACACGCAAATATATCGTTCTACCGAAGATTGCAATTAAAGACGATTTTTTTGCATATTAATGTATTTCTGATTATAAATCTAGTCTGCTGGAACTTTATTGGGTTTATTAGGGGCATAACAACTAGCGAATGACGTCATCGGTATTCCAAAGAATTGTACTCACCTTCTTGTACGCCATCAGGTCGAGTGTGTACTATAGTTGCCTAACTGTATTTTTTCCTCCCTGTGATATATTTGTTTTTCCTTAGTCAGCATTTTATTTTAAATGTAGAACAATCATTTTCAAATAAAGAACTTTCCGACTTTTCCTTTATAACAATGGCAATAATATAAAAATAATAACTCAACAGTTCTCACATAATGCCGTTTGATTCCAAAATAGACTCAGTCTTTACTATGGTACCCAGACTGCTGATCATACATTTGAACATACTTTTTAATTTCGAATATATACAGATTTTAGATACTACAGATATACAGATTTTAGGTAACTCACAAACATTCGGGCTTATTAAACAATTATTTGTCCTTGGTGGGATCGAACCCACGACCTATGGCTTTGTAGTCAGGATCTCCAACTACTGAACCAAGGCCAATTGTTAGGTTTTAGTTTATTTTATATACGTATCAGTCTTATTATATGTACTAAGTGGGCAGGACGAGCCTGCCTCCACGAGGCTCCAGTTGTCTGTGAAGCTGTGGCAGACAACTGGAGCCTAAGGCCCGTCCGCATAGCGCTATTTTACCGCGCGTTTTTTCGCAAAATTCTGTGTCACATGCGATCTATTCTATAAAGTTCTGTGATAGGATACATACTGAACGCGATACGGTGGCGATTTATTTCTACAGAATTTTGCGCAAAAAAAACGCGAGGTAAAATATCGCTGTGCGGACGGGGCCTAAACCCACTTCCACCTGATGCTGAGACATGCTAGCTATGTCAACTATGAGACAAACCCAATAATTTAAAAAAAGCTTTGATTATACTACCGTCGTAACATCTTTTTTCATCGACAACATCCAATTGCATTGCATCCATGTGATCTGAAGCATGTCATCTCACTTCAGTTGTTGGTAAGATGTTTGCATTATTTCAACAAATTTGCGGTTATTACACTTTACTTGTTGGTACCGGCGGCTAAGCCACAGATAGTTAATTTTTTTTTTCAATAGAGACTATTTAGGTTAGGCAACAAAGCTTAGTGTCATTGGTACTTTACCTAAAGAGGTTTGCGAACTTTATTAAACATAATCCATATATTCATACTTATATTAATAGCTAAATGTGAAATTGAGTTTGTTTGTTTGTTACGCTTTCACGCCTAAACTACTAAACCGATTGTGGAATTCTTTCAGCAATGTCAAGCTTATTTTGGCTCCTTTTCATGAAATATATACCGTACACATCAAAAACCCTTTTTCGTTTTTTTGTTTAGGATAACACAATGACTAGTTAATTGCTAGATACTTTTGTTAGGTATATATTAAAATAATAGCTGTACGTATTGTGGCTCCATTGATGAGAAACTAAGAACTGAACCTGACGCAAAAAAACCCTTTTTAAAACAGGTTGTATATCGTAAATTTTGAGCTTGGTCGTTGTAGAAGTTTTTGTGCTCTTGGAGCGTAAAAAACCAAAACAAAAACATTTTAATTATATATGTACGTAATATAGATGTACTCATTATAAACATAATATCATAAAAAGAGCTGAATATATTGTTATTAATTAAGTGTGTATTTTAGAGCGATATCAGGATTTCAAGCGACAAGCAGCATGCCTCGTAGATGCAAAGGGCTGAGACTTTTCCAACATCTCCAATCTGAGTACAAGAATTAACCTTTTCCAAAAATAAAAAAAACAATATTGAAATCACTTCCATGTCAACCGCCGCAGAGCCTAGTTAAGAACAGTTACTTAACGGCTTTATCAACCAAACTGCGGTTCGTTTATAAAATAAAAACCCACTATTGATTGTCAAACATTTAGAAAGTACAACAAAAACATCGATCACTTTACGAAACCTATAGCGAATGTAATGGCGCTTGTAATCGCATTTTTTTCTAGTAATGGTCCTTACCATTTCCGCTTTACCCCTCATTATTTTCACCGCAGACCTTTTCACAATGAGCCTTTTTGTATCTATTAGCGGCTATCGATCTGTTTTATGCTGGTTTAAAGATTTTATGCAAGTTTCAAGACTGGCCAGTTTGTGGTGGAACAAAACATTCTAAATTTAAAAATTCAAAAGTTTGTGGCATAAAATACACTCTAAAAAAATTACAAAAAATATGCTTGATAGGTTTGAACAAGAGTTTACTGAAAGTTGTGGTCACATTTTAGAATCGTTAAGTAGACTATGTAAATAATTTTGCATATTAAAATAATGTTTTATTATGTTATTTAAAGAAATCTTATTATTTCAACATTCCGGTCGAGCCGACCCATTTCTGCCCAAGCATGCCTCTCCCATGGTGTTTAGAAGTTCAACCTATGTAATTCGCTCCTAATAACGCGGCCTGA